ACTACAGCATCCAAAACATGGGTTTAAAAAATTATTTGAAGATGCAGAGAAAATAAATGAAACTCCTAACAACCGTGCAAGACCTGGTAGACCACCAAAACTGTCTCCATCAGATAAACAGCACCTAAAGCTTCTGTCTTTGAGAGAGAGGAAAACCTCAAGCTCCACTCTTGCTTCAGATCTGAAAACATCCACAGGTGTTTCTGTCCATCCTTCCACTGTGAGAAGACAACTCGACACTAAATCTGAAAGGATGTGTAGCTGTCAAGCAGCCTTCACTGAGGAAACGTAACAGACCAAAAAGAGAAGCTGCTAACTATGATTCATTTAACATGTTTGTAGAGTTGTGACATTAAAAAGCACTTTCTTATTAAATTGTATCTTTTCAATGTGTGGTCTACTCTTTTAAATTTTTGAGCTGTATCACATCACAGAAATTAAGGATGGGTGTTTAACATTTTTCATGCTGTGGTAAAATACCCAATAGTTTATTCAATCTCTGTCTGCTCCTCTGGTCTTACTGCACTAGATCAGGGCTGGAAGTCCTTGAAAGAGCAAGCAGATACACTCTGTTATTAAGACATTTCCGCTTCCGTTAAAAGCTCTTAAATCTTCACTATCACAGATCGGATGCTCTTTGATATCTGCACGTTTGAATAGCCCAAATTCCTGTGGGCAGCACCCTTCGACTTGGTCAACACACACCACGCACTTCCTGAATATGCTCTTATCTGTAGACGCATGCTTTTCTGTAGTAGAAAACTCTTAACTTGGCCTTCCCTTTACAGCATACTGGACCATTTCTGTCCTCCTCGCACAACCTCACTGCAGAAGGTGCAGATCCTATTAGCCAGAGCCTGAGCAGCCAAAAGGCCTTTCCTCATGATGGATCAACTTTGTGCTTAATGCTTTCTGCTGCTGTCAGGACTCCAGAGAATCACACTGCAGTCAGGCAGAAGGTGGCAAGAGCTAGGTAGAGCAGTCTAAATGCTTGCTGAAGTAAGAGTATTCTTACTGTAATGAAATGGTGACTCAAGCAGAAGCAGAAGTAGTCTAGTAAAAACAACTTGAGTAGGAGGAAAGAAGTATCAGGTCAGAAAGCGCTCAAGAATTCCAAGTTTCCTACAGAACCGCGGAGGAACTTCATAGTACATCCAGTATCTATTAGCATAGGGTCAGAGGTCTGTTAGGTGCTATTCTTCCATTTTCAGGATTATTTTAACCTAAAACAAAACAGTATCTCAGAAGTGTGAGCAACAGCAAAGCTGTGCAGGAACTGAGCCAACAGAACAGAGTAAAATTAAAAGATAAGTCTTCCCATAATTTAGTGGTTGAGATGTAAACAGCCATTCAGAGTGGTCTGATGTGAAATGGGGCATTGTAGAGAAACTTAGCACCTGTTGTAGAGAAACTTATTTACAGTGGTGGTGGTAGGAACCAGGGTTCACAAGGTCTACAGTGCAAAAACAGACATTTAACTTACTGTCCAAAACAACCTGAACCTACATGTGTCTTCTTCAGCCTTTAAGATCTTATCTCAAAGCTAGGTTGAAACAATGTTTTCAAGATCATTTCATGCTATTCCTTTCTGTGTTGTAGCTTAGGCATTATATGCTTCTTAGTTCTTCACCACCAATGTGAACAATTCTGAGTTGGTAGTTTTCTCTAGAATGGAGCATTTCACATCAAACCACCCTGAATGTCGTTATTTACATCATAAGGATGCAGAGAATTTGAAATTTGAATTAGAATTCATCTTTAAACTCACAAAGAGGATTAGGAACTAAATTAGGAGCTAAAGTGGAACTGAGTATAAAGTGGATTCCTTTCACCACAAATATACTTAGTATAAGTAAAAGTACTATCATTTTAGAATACTGAGAGATCTATTAAAGCTTTATATAAGTACATGTAACTGATTAATATAGCCAATCTGTAAATTAGCCAAGTTGGCAAAGCTTTCTAACTCACAGTAATGTTTATTAAAGGTCCCATATCATTCAAAACCTATTTTTCTTTACTTCTTTATCCCCTTAAATGGCCAGGGCCCACCCGCAGGCCCAAAGTTTTATTATACACTTCTGTAACCTAAGAATACCCAGTTTGCATTTAGTTACCAAAAAATAAACCTTAGTATGTAATAAGCCTGAGATTTTAAGGGGTTAAATAAAAATTTGATGTACTATGTAAACACTGTTAAAAGTTTCAAAGTGCACCATTCACTCTCCAGCCCACACAGTCCGTATATGAAAACTAAGCTGCAAAAAATGGCCCATTTTGAATGAACTGGTTTTGTGATGTCACGAAAACTCATTTTCATACACCCACCTATTCAGCCTACAGCAGTTCAGCACCTCCCATTTAAAATCCAATTTAAAGTTATAAGGAGTGTTTCTGCCAGGACTCCTTTTTAAAATGAGACACAATATACACAGCAGCCAATCAGAACAGAGATTGATCACAAACATCAGTCTTAGACGCACAGTAACAAAAACAGCATGCTTAGTTGTAAGGGATAAAGAGAGTTTGGAAAATTGTCATGTAAAAATGAATTATGCTTCTGTTTAGTACATAAACCACACTAACATTATATGTGGAGGAAACAGTGGACTGTGAACTACAATACATTTTCAAATGCTGCTAAACTAACCTCTGATATGAACCTGAAAAAGGTGAAGTACACTCAGTATCTGTACTATTAGTACTGAAAGAAAAGACATGAAAGCACATATGCTGAACAAACGCGGCTTATCGAATCTCACCCCTGATAATGCAATAGATAAGTATTTGCAAAGCCTTGAGAGGTGCAATGATGTGGCCATGAGAAAACTGAGACATTAACAGTTCTAAGGTCAGTCCTTGGATAGAAAAGTGGCCTTGCGCTGTGCTATGGTTGGTTCTGAGCCCAATTTATTTGCAGAGTAAGAGCCCACTCTGTACGTGCATGTATGGTGTTATGTTGGGAAGAATTGGGTGAGCTAGAGTGTGTTTTCCTGTCTCACACTAAAACAGTGTGAAAACTGTCCAACTACGTCATCTCTAGGTTACAAGTAGGGAGGTATGCACATTTCAATCGAGTTCAACATTCCTTACGGCGGGGATTTACCTTCATTAAACAACAGGCACAAAACAACACAATGGCAAGATTCAGTTCTTAGAAGTCACAGTTATTGCCAGCAATGACAAAAAGCATGGAGTAACTTATTATTAAATATTTCTCACTGAAACAAGAGGAGAAATTCAGTTTAAAGTGCAGATTCTAAGCTTTTAATCAATATTATATTTGTTTTTAAGTAGCAGAGTATTATGATTTGAATTTCGTTGTTGTGTACAGTCTTGTTTTTGACATCATTTAGATTTTTGCCATGTGTTTGTAATTTGTTCTCATTGAAACAAATGGAAAAAAGTCAGAAGTGCAAACTCAAATAGAGAATGTAAATTGACTGTAATGGTAATTTATAATGCAACTATGTAATTAATCATGTAATTGTGTAATTACACTGAAATATTATAGCAAAACAATAATAACTCGAGATTTGTAAGGATGTCTAAAGAGTAGGGCGTATTCAAATCTCTTGATTATGCCAAAGAGGGGGAGAGCGAGTTAGTAACCAAGAGAGAGAGAGACTAAGTAAGTATAGAGGGTCATTGGGGTGGTTATAGGCTTTAGCACGGCCATGTCTAATGAACTACATCATGTGAACTCACTATTATATCCTGCTCTGCTCGCTTTCCTGCCTACAACTAGCATTTATCATGTCATTTGTCATGTTATGTAATATTCTGTAGTGCAGCATTGCTTTCCACAGTCTCAGTGGTTTGACACAACTTAACATTCTGTATATTTTTGTGTTTTCATCTAGCAATGTTTTCTCACTACAGTACCCAGCATGCATTACACCAATGTGCCATATAACCACCTCCCCAGTGGCAATAAAGAAATCCACTGATGTACAGGTTAATAAATACAGACGTGATTGGTTTTACAGCCCATCCACATGTTTGCCCTAAAGCACTTCTATTTTTTCAAAAGCTCCTCCCACCTTCACGATGCATCATCAGTAGGGGGTTTTCTTAGTCTTTACACTGGAAAAATCTCACTGTCGAGACTATTGTGGCATCACTGTAGGAGGTGAGCAGGCACGTTTACGACAGATGCTACGTTTTTCTTTTTGACCGTATTGCCACTTTAATAAGACGAGTGCCAGAAGGCCCAAATTCTCAGGAGGCACTGCTAATTTGAGGACCTAAAACAAGTAAACTTTGACCTTTTTTAAATGTATTTTCTGCAAACTGAAAAATTGGCTTAATTCTTAAGTATTTCGCAAAGTATACATGGATTTCAAAAATGTATGCTGCCATTTCAGCACTGTTATAACAGATTTTGGATGTTTTTGTTTTTTTCTTTTTTCCTTTTTATAGATTCACTACAGAATATTCAGTGTAGGATATTGAACATGGATTCAAAAGATGAATATTATTCTTGAAAAAGATATACAAAGACAAACAGAGACATTACAGAATCTCCCATAACAGAGTAGGTTATGAAACCGCTGCTTTAATCTTAAGACACAGATACACTAAGAGTGTCTCATCTAGCCTTTCTCGTCTTGTAGCTGCTATCACCCATGACAACTGCATTAAAACCTGCTCATTTCCATCATTAACAGCAGCAGCATCACAACAGACTGGTCTGGCCCTTTAAATGCGATGCAGGTGACAAACCACACAGGATATCATAGCTGAAAACTTACTGAGGTGACACTTCTCAGCAAGGTTAGAACGGAACAAACGCTGACTGTGCTCTTACTAGAAATATTCCAGAATGGCATCTGACTGTACTTTTACACATGAATATAGCAAGCAAAAATGTCATGTAAACACAATGTGCATATGCAAACTGCCACTTTAGGTCCAGTCTGATCTTATATGAGGTCCAATTTCTGTGATCTGAGTGTGATCAACCTCCAACTGTGTTGAACTGAAGTATAATTACTTACTCCACTGGTTCAGTAAGCTATTCATATGCATCTCGAGGGTGGATGATGGAACAGTCCGTCAAAGCATTACACCCAGACAAAGCAGGGGTGGATGGTGAAGTCCTATTGAGACAGCAAAAGGGGGAAGCAGACACACACACGCAACGATCAGCACACACACACTGAGCAGCGAGACACATAAAGCACTACTGTTACACTAAGCAGAAGTAAAACATGTACACAACTCACAAGTATGCACTCATAAAGCGTGGAATGAAATGAACAGAGTGAAGCCACGACCAAGGGTCTGATCTGACAGTTTACTAGAGGGGAAACCCAGAGAAGGTCTAACATCACGAGTTTGATCTGCATCTTAAGAAGCGTGAAATACAGTGTTTAACACCTACGAGCTTTATATAAGTCTGTCTGGACTCCAGTGAACCCTGTAAGAGTGGATTCATCACTAGATGTTAGTTGGGCTCTGGGGATTTTACAGTTGAAAAGTCTTGGTAAGGATGAGTTCTTGATTCACATATTCAGTGTTAAAAAAGACAAGAAAATGTGAACAAGCATTCAGCAAGGATGGATAGATGAAAGTAGGGCTGGGCAATATGACAATATTATAGCGTTATTGTGATAAATTGTCACAATATGCTTTTTTAAGCTTATTGTCAGTGCTTAAAGGACACTAACTACGTTTCAGTGCAAAGAGAGCATAATTAAATTTGTTTAATTAGATTTAGCACCCTGCAGTTTGTGATGCTCCTGCTGATTATGATGATGACTATAATTATTATGATTATTTTTATTAGTAGTACTAGGAGCAGTAGTAGTATTGTATTCTTACATGTGGCACTACATGTTTTATTCTGGCTGTTTTGACTTATTAAATCTCAGAAAAACTAAACATTGCAATGCAAATGCATTTAACATGAAAATGTCTTGAAGTATTGTGATATATTTTTGCCATATTGCCCACCCCTATATGAAATGATGGCCAGTATGAGAATTTAATAGACATAACTGCAACAATGTACTCATAGAAAACACTGGTGAACAGACAATGGCCAAACATTTTGACTCAAATATGTTTATGTGCAATAAACTAGGCTTTAATTCAACTCAACAACTCGCAGTTAAAGGCAGCGCCAATGAATTCAAACCGAGTGTCTACTTACAGCGAACTGCAGCTCCACTGTACTGATAAGTCAGCTCTGTAGGAAGGAAACAGGCCCAGATGAAGTGCTGAAGCTGTTCAGATGAGAGACGCTCTTTCTCTGAAGCAGGAGGAGGCGAACTGTAGCATCGCTGTATCAGCGCTGCCCACACCAGCGCTTTTTCCACTCTCTCGCTCAGAGTGACAACGTGCCTGGCGGCGTTCATTTTTTTCCACCCGTATTACGGTAAGCACCGCCTTCTAGGACCTGATTGGCGAGGACGTTTCACCTCCTGCGCTGGGATTGGCTAGCAGTGTCCCGCCTCCTGACTTAGCGTTGGCTTGTTGTATTGAATCTCCTCCTTTATTATTGGCTGGCAGTTCATACTTACAAAGCGGCCAGCCAGTGCTGGAGCAGAAAGCAGGACTCGTTGGAAAACAGGTGGGAAAAGAAAGGGCAAAACTGTGCCGATGGAAAGACACGTTTGATCGGTTGTCATGGAAACCAAACTGCACTTACGTCACGAGTTAATTCAGTTCAGTCCTACCTCTGAGAGGAAAAGGTAAAAAAAAACACTACATGGTAACAATCACACCTGTAACTAAATAGTAACATAACTATTACTTAATAATAACTACTACATAACTATCATTAAAGAGTAACATCGCTATTACTAGATAATAACTAAGCAGTTGTGAGTTGTGTACATGTGTAACTTCTGTTAGTGTGAATAAATAATTTAAATAAATAAATAATAACTGCTACATAATAACCATTACTAAACAGTAACATAACTATCATTAAATAATAACTACTACATGATAATATAATAACTATCACTACTTCTACATAATAACAATCACTAAATAATAACATAACTATCACTAAATGATAACTACACATCAATTATCACTAAATAATAACTACTACATAATAAAATTCACTTAATTACAGAGCACTGATGGTGACATCCCATATAAATAAAAGCAATGCGTGGACACGACTTAGTAAGGAGTGGGAACAAGATAATTAAGTCATGGCCATGACTTAGTAAGGCATGGGAACGAGATCTTAATGCATGGCCAGGACTTAGTAAGGCATGAGAATGAGATGATTAAGCCTTGATGACAGCTTAATACAGCATGATCTTGTTCCCACACCTTACCAAGTTGTGGCCACACATTAGGATCTCATTTCCACACATTAATACGGTGTGGCCACGCATTGTTTTTACTTATATGGGATGCCACCAGAGGGTTCCATACTAAAAAGAAAAATAACTATCACTAAATAATAACTACTACATAATAACTATCACTGAATAATCGTCACTTCACAATAACATCACAAAATGATAACTACATAATAACTACCAGTATATAATAACTACTACACACTATCACTAATTTATTGCTAAATAAAACACTACTATATAATAGCTAATCAATAAATAATTAACAGCTACCATTTAATAATATCTCAATACTAGCCACAGAATAAGTACTATGCAATTACCACAAATTAATAACTACTGCATAATAACTACCACTAAATAACAATTACTACTCAACAATATCTAAATAAGACTAATAATAATACTTAATACTAATAACTACAACAAAATCATGTTAAATAACTACCGCAAATTAATAACTACTACATAATATCTTCTCGTAAGAGTACATATTAAGTATTACATAATAACTACTACATAATAACTACCACTAGAGTTATATAATAACTATCACTAAATATTAGCTACTATGTAGTAACTACCACCACATAGTAAATATTACGTTCTAAACATCTACCTCTAAATCGTAGATAATAACTGTCAGTAATAAAGTCAACATAACTGGAGAGAAAAAAGAGTGGGTTGAATTTGAATTTAAAAAATTTGAATTTGAATTTATTGAAATCAACCAGCCAATAGATAAATAAATAAATAAATAAATAAATAAATAAAACCTTTCAGGTCCACAAAATAGACAGATAGTTATGGGATTGTAACTCCTCTGTAATGAGGAAAAACCAGTAAAACTGGTGGTGTCAGCCAGGAGAAGAGGATAACAAACACAGTCTCTCTCCTAATTTCACTGCATCTCACAGACTGTGTTTGCCATCTGTTCAGACTGACAGAGACTGCAGTGCTAATGATTCACCACGCTATTTCTGTTACCGCACCATCTCTAACACTGTACTCACTAACACTGCACCGTGAAAAGTGCCTCATATGTCTCATTTTCCTTTTTACAGCCTTGATTATTGAGGTCCTCTATAAAATGACTACACAAAATGACTTTGGGACTGAGTTCAGCTGTTCTACAGTACAGTGAAATGTCACATTGACTGTGGCTGTCAGTGAACAAATGCATTTTGCAGGTTACTCTACAAGTAATCTCTCTCAGGCATAAAGCATTGTATGTATCCAGACAGTGACATATCGTTCAGTGCACAACACACCGTTTAATATCAGTTTGTTTAATGTGTCTTCATTCCAGTAATGCTTATTTAATTATCACTGTGGCACTTGAAAGAGAAACAGCGCCCTCATCTGTTGGATATCTGTAATCACCTGGTAAGCTAAAACTTTTCATTTTACAAAACTATAGTACTGTAAGCAAGATTCAGTGCAAAGTTTGGTTTAATCATAAATTATATGAAATTATATATGTATGTATCTACACCCTAAACAAAAGGTTGGGTAGAAATTGACCCAACATGGGATTATTTTCACAACCCGGTGCTGGGTCAATATTGGACAAATACAGCATTGGGTAGAACTGAACCAACATACTGGGTTATTATTCTGATCCAGCATTTTGGATCAAGCAATTAACCCAAAAGCTGTGTACTTTCAAATGTTGGGTTGTTGTTGTCCGTTGCTGAATCTGAATAACTTTAATTACATTACACAATATTACATTACACAACAAAGCAATGCTGAAAACAAAACATTGCTTTTAACCACCAAAAATATAGTGATTTATTTATAAATAAAACATATTAATTTGTACATAAAATCCATTGAGTGTAACATGGGAAATACTGCATGTATAAAACCATATGACAATATACAATTCATTACATAAATATACTTACATATTAATATTAAAAATGACAGTTATTTATCATCCATTTTACACTGAATTATTACCAGAAAATTATCACAGTTGCTGTTTTTCATAACTTAACTGGAAACACTAACAATGTGATTAAGAATAACAAACATTTGTCAGCACTGGATTCCCAGTTACAATTTCAGTATTGCTTATGAAATGAGTGCCCCAATATCTTTTACAGTGAGGGTCCTCTAACATTCCCTTCTCATTCTGGAAGTTAATCATGGGTGGACATCACTGTTCAGTGGCAAATAAATCCCATAAGGGATTCCTGACCTGGAAGCTCACACACACAACAGTCTGTGCTCCCAAACTGGAGAACACTGTTGAGGATAGTTTATATCAAATACAAAAAAGGCTTTAAAACAAATGCCAGCTGCTCCGACAAGTGTGCTCTGCTCCACACCTTGTCCATTGTCTGGTAAAAGACTGATCATCTCCTACAGCTGAAAATAATAGATCAGGACTGGTGACTTTTGTCTGAGACAGGAACTCCTCCATATTAGTACCAACCTGTTGTGAATACAAACACAGCATTAGTTATTTTATAATGACACACACACACACACACACACACACACACACACACACACACACACACACACACACACAGACTAACCACTTTATTAAGTACAGCGCCTTGTTTCTACACTCGCCGTCCATTTAATCAGCTGCACATACCATATAATAGCACTTCATAGTTCTACAATTACAGACTGTAGTTCGTCCGGTTCTCTACATACTTTGTTAGCCCCCTAGTGTCAAAACCCGAAAAAAAAAAAAAATAAATAAAGTCACTTACTTTTTAAAGCTTGTTCTTCTGCCACAACATCTTCAAACGAGAGGGAAACCATGGAAGCGGGAAGCCAACTTTGAGATTTTATGGTAAGTGCATGTTGCCTTTCAGGTCTGCGCTGCCAACCCAGCTATCTCAGGTTACCTAAAACTACCCAATAAATTACTAAATACTTCCTTACTAATCCATACATCTGACCCAGGTTCAGTAACTTAGCCACTGAGTTGTTAATTTAACCCAGCATTTTTCAGAGTATATAACTTTTGTTCAGAAAATGCTATATATATACATGTATGTATGTATGTATGTATGTATGTATGTATGTATGTATATATATATATATATGTGAACAAATCCTCTACAGAGAACACACTTAAGTATTACATTTTTCCACAAATTTAGTGCACAATTTCTATTTTTTTGCTGAGTTAAAGATATTGGGAAAAAATAAAGCATTAAAATACGAAATGTGCCATAACTTTCACACTTGCCACAATTTATACATATATATCTATATATGTCTATCTATCAATGTGTATATATATATATATATATATATATATATATATATATATATATATATATATATATATATATATCTGTTCTCTGTAGAGGATGTATTAACTATTTTCACTTAGTTGATCAACTAAACACACCATTTGACTATGGGCACCTAAAGTGCATATGCATACTGCATACTGTATACTGTAGCAAGCTAGAAAAAATTAAGGTAGACATATTCCCGATGCCTAAAAACAAACCATTTCAATATGGACATTTATTCTTCTTTTAATAAGGCACAAAGGCATTATTATTATTAATTATTATTAACACATTATTAATCTGGTGAAACATTCAGTGGTCAGTTGGCCTGAACTACAACATTGTAGAAGTTTGCAGTGTTCTAGTCTCCTTTTCCCATCCAAAGCATCAACATGACAAACCAGCACTCTGAAAGTCATGCCAGATGTTCAGCAGCTGGCTCGGTGTAAAACCTGTGATGATGATTCTCTGTGCAAAGGTGCATCTGTCGTACTCCAGGCGACGGATCTCAAACAAGTTCTTGTAAGGCAAAAGTGTCCGAGAGAACACTGGGTGGACATTTAAGTAATGGAGGCACAAACCCACATAAACATCCTCCATGTCAATGGGGCGCACAAATCTGGAGGCCCATGATATTTTCTTAGCCAGATCAATAGAAAACACATAACCAGCTCCGGACACATAGGGTGGGAATGAGCTCTCTGGATATACTTCCTCAGACAGGTACCACTTGCTGTGTGGATTCCTGCGAGGGCGACCATCGTTAATGACTGACCCTGTGATATAGTCCTGCTGGGAAGCCTGGCTTTGGAGGTAGTGCACGAGATAAGGGACGTTGATGAAAATGTCAGCGTCAACCTTCATGGCATATTGGGCGGAAGGGCAGTAAGTAGCCAGCCAGTTCATGATCATCATAGTCTTGACGGTAAGATTGCGGTAAGTATCCAGAAAGTCCATTTGGATGATGTCTCCATAGGCATTACTCTCCTTTTGAAGATGTTTCTCGAGATTTGGATTGGGTTCACTTGGCTGTCCAATGAAAAACAACCTGGTAATGTCCACATTCGGAAGTAAATTGTCTTGACCCCAGGTCTTCCTGATGGCTGACCTGGATTCGCTGTCTTCTCCTGTCACTGGTATCATAAACACCACAAAAGGATTTCTTCTTTCACACAGTTTGGGCTGGTTGAGTATGTATCTATATGTGGATGGTGAAATGACCTTGTAGAGCTCATCTTTTAGAGGTGCTAAGCTCCTAGAAGGCAACCCTGACGTGCTACTATTCCAAAGGAGGAAAATTAAAAGTGATATCAACCCAGCAGCTGAACCCAACAGGAAGTACTTCAGCAGCCTAGACCTCAGAGACTTTAGCATTGCTAAGCTGTTAGAATTTAACAACACATACCAAACCTAAGAGGAGCGCTGAAGTATGAGATTTTGCCAGTAATTCCTCAGATTCTTCCATGGAGTGAAGAAAAGGTTCATGTTGCATTTGAAGTCAGACTTCCTTCCCGGTCAGAAGCAAAACAGCTCAATATCCTTCATGCTCCTCCTCCTTCTTTCCACCAGCAGGCCACTCCCAAAGCTTCTATAAACACACAGTTACTGCGTCTGTGTCAGCACTCTGTTGCCAGATAAAACAAAGCAGCGGGTTGTGCCCATTAGCCTCAGCCCCTCTGCCTGCAGGACAGTTTATGAGCAGACGTCAGAGCGAGACAAAGCAGGTTGGCCGGAGGTTTCCTCTCCTGAAAATACTTTCAATTCAGGTCATTGACTTTCCCAGCTCAGGTAAACTAATGCTGTATTGATATCCTGCAATTTGTGCTTTTATCTAATTAGCTTTACAAAAAAAAAATTAAAATTTTACTCAATTTATACTTATTAAGAATACATTATTTGTATCTGAGACAAAACTTTTTTGCCACAGAAATCTTCAGTTATGTAGTGAGCAAGCAAGAAAAACTGTTTTTGTGAGGTTGAAAGCCAAAGCATTTACATATCTGCCTATTCAGGCTACAGCAGTCTAGCTCCACCCGTTTACGCTGAAGTTTCAGTGTTTCAGGCACAGTGCAGGTTAGCCAATTAGAAAGGAGTTCATTTACATATAGCAGCCTTAAAGGCATACATATATATATGGAATGGCATGCGTGGGAAAGTGAAAGATGAGATGCCATAGCCTTTAGTTAATTCAAATTGCATGCAAATGTATAGCCCTATCTCTTTATCTCTTAACTCTAAATGACAAACACTGATATTGAATCACTTGGTACTGAATATGCAAATGGTGGTCATACCATTTCAATAGACAATAACATGTTTTGACTTAAACAAACGAATGGTGTAAAAATGAATATATAGACACTATTTTCCATATTTCTATATAGCACTGATGTAAGAAAATAGGCCATTTTTGGTATAAAAAGAGACAAAAAGAATAATATAATGACTATTTTTGTAAACAAAATCCATTTTATTGTAATAGGGGTTACAGAGAAACACCTGTTGTTCACCCAGTTAAAAAACAAACAAACAAAAACAAACAAACAAACAAAACATATTCAGATACCAGAGACTTAATTTACACAGGTATTCCATAGGGTCAGTGGTTTAGTCTATAGCAGGAAAGGTTGCACAAAGACTCACTCTGTATATTAATTCATTTTGTGTACAATACCTTTATATAAATGTACAATGCAGATTTAAAAAAATGAAAATGGCCTTCTTAAAATTTTCATCTGCCGCACAATATCACCTTATGACTCTCGATCATTATATGTACTCATAACTCACGAACTTGCTTACCTCAGTCACATACTGATATAGGTCCTGCCTTTACTTTCCAGAAGAAACAATTGACAAAAATAAAATAAAACTCATCACTTCGGTTGTGTGTTCCAATGTCATTACACTGCTACAATCACCAGTGCAGAATGAACTCCTGCACATGAAAAGTGAAGTGTAACTTGGGTTCATTTAGCACTAATGGCTTCCTGTAGAATGCCATAGGTGTGGCAAGCCATTTTAGATTTTAACTCATGTTATGTTGATGTCAGAAGTTCAATTTGAAGAAGTTATTCAATTTTGAACATATAAAAATGAAATTTGGCATGTAAAATACTGAATTTCAAATTGTTTTAGCAATGTTATATTTTAGCATGTAAAATTTCTGCTCTCACTAGAAAGAATGTATGCCCTTTCTCAGTTCATTTTAATGTGAGAAACAATTTTTACCCACATAAATATGTTTTATGTAAAAATTTAAATTTGCCATGCTGAAATTCTAATGACATGTTGAAATGTAATTCTTACCAGTATAAATAGTTTTTTTGTTTAAGAATAGAAAAGATGTTTTATATTAAGAGAAATTTGTAACTTTTCCGTCTAAAAGTTTACCTTTTTGTAGTATTTTCAATGAATTTTCTAATAAGAATTCAAAGTTAAAATTATAATTTCAATTTCCTTGAAAATTTCATTGTTTACTTCTGAAAACTGAATTATTACTTGCTAAACTTAATTTTAAACTAGCACCCACCAAAATTCAATCCATTGATTCATTGAAAATCTATGAATTCTTACTAGCGACAGCTAAAATCTTTTAGGCTAACGCTATTCCTACTACTACATTTTAGAACTCAGTATTCTTTTAACAGTAAATTTCACTTTTTGCCAGTATTAACATCATTGCACTTGTTTTTTACTTGCTTTTACTCATCTTAAATTGAGTTTCTGACATCAACGGCCTGTGGATTAAAAGATAAAACAGCTTGCTAGGCTAAAAACACTAGGAAAGGTGCATACAGTTGGAGGCGGCACAGTGTCCTGTGCACTGTGCAAGCCGAGATGTCACCCATGGTAATGTTTAAAAATGTTTACAATGTGCTACACATGCCACTGTTCCTCAGAACTGATCACTTGCAATGGCAGGAGTGGGGGAAGAGGGGGGATACGAAGAGTTATGATGCATCACACTGAGACTAATATAGACAAAAATGCTCTGGGCCTCTTCACTGGATGACCGCCAGATGAAATGCGAGCTGCATTTTGCAACAGCGAAGAGGCACCAATACACGAAACAAGACCACTAACAGACATTCTGCCCTTTATACATGAACCAAACATGAGCTACAGTCTTAGATATAAAGGAGGCAAAAGGGATTTTTGGATCGATGCCATTGAAGAACCACTAAACTTTTGAGTGGATCGATCTTTAAAAGAACATTCCAGAGTTTTTAGTAACTCTAACTGCCTCATCTCTAGTATATAGAATAGCAATAGTTTAGACTTGAGAAAAGAACAAAAAACCTATTGACTCAAAACATACTCAATAGAAGTCAATGGGCAGATGCTTCTATTGTCAGCATGTCAACAGGTTTTCAGTTCTTTTCCAAGTACAGGGAAACTATCACACTGGTAATCAACTGTATACTACAGATGCAGCAGATAGAGAGATTAGCTACAGAATTCCTTTCAAGAACCATGAATTGAAAGGTTCTTTAGGGAACCAAATGTGGTTCCCTTGTGGTATTGCTCCAAACTTCCTTTTTGTCGCTTCTATTTTTAACAATGTACCAGATGAAGTACCAAAACAAGAGATATCATATTTTATCGTCCGATGGAAAATGAACAAGCCAGATTTCGCTACCAGTGTGTGGATTTCTTACATGGATCTCGGGATGGCAGTCTTTGGTGCGTATGATTCTGATGTTTTTCATGGCCCTGAAGAGTGTGTGGTTGACTGTTGCCGCTGACTGTCGGGCCGGCACCCATCATACTGGTGCCACACACCACCGTGGATGAGCTGTAGCTCAGAAATGAGGGATTATGGATGACATTTTAAACTGGGTTACTGTGAGTGTAGGAGTGGAGATGGGAGCGAGAGAGAGAGAGAAAGAGAGAGAGAGGTTTCTGGTAGGAGCTTTGGTAGCTGAAGGGGTGGAGCTGATGCAGTAAGGGCAGATTGGTGGGGTGGGGGTTGGGGAGGTGTGTAGAGCCGCTTTACGACCGCTTTCTCCTGCCCTCAAAGTTCCTGAAGTTGGCTGGTCTGATCTTCATCTCAGCAAACTCGATGGAGTGCTCATGGCCCTTCCAGTGGAACCAGTTCACACCCTGCAGAAAAAGGTCATTCAAAGCACAAACTTAGGCTTGGTTCAAAAATTCTCTGTTTGTCATTGTGAGATTTGTAATGAATATACAGCGGCCCAAAAAATCAGTTGAATGCTTTAACTATTTAACCATTGGTAAACTGAAGTTCTTTAGGCAGGGGTGCTCAATCCTTGTCCTGGAGATCTACCACCCTGCACAGCTTAGTTCCACCTCTAATCAAACACACCTGATCCATTTAGCGAAGGCCTTCAGAAGCATCTGAATATTAGACAAGTTTCAGAGAAACGTCAAACAGTGCTGTCATTCAACTTGTATTCATTGATGGGACTGTAAGTAGTTTTAGCACAACATCAAACTGATGGTGGACTCTTTGTGTTGAGAAAGTGTGGAAGAGAATTCCAACCAAACTGCACTACAGTAAAGCACAGAGGTGGAAACATCAAAGCCTGCAGCTGTTTTTCTTATAATGGTGCCAGTCAGCTTGTGTTCACTGGATCACAAACTTGCAAAGAAACTGCTCTGAATCAGACCGGTCATCTTTTGAAAGAATACTTTGCCAAAAAGAAAGTAACAGTCTTGGAAAAGTCTGTTTAAATGCCAATAGTTTGAAATGTTGTTTTCTCAACATGATTAACTTAATACATATTGAAGTATGGCACAAATGTCCAAATACTTTTGGGGCCACTGTATATAAACCTTACATGAAACTAAACTCTGCTTGTGTTGTGTAATGTAAAGCCTCCTGCAACTCACTTGAAACTTTGAAACTCAGCTATAATAGTTACCACAACAGTAAAACAATTTTCATTAAACAGCCAATCAGAGCATAATAATGTACCAGGTGATGACATGAAATAACTAATGTTTCTTATTTACTGGTAATCAGTTAGCTTAACTAGCTAGTTTGCTAGCCAGCTAATGTTTACATGACAACAATTAATGCCAGCTTTTGTTTTGCTTTGTTAGACTGCATATCGTGATCTATGTAGCTACATTTTCTCCTCTCTTGATGATGAACATGATATGAAGATGTAAATGTAGTCTAAATGACACATCACAAATGACTGCATTTGACCACATCGATACAGTATATAAAATAATATTAGCTTCTAATCTACTGGAATAATTGAATGTGTGGCACAAATGCTTTTGAACTGCTTGATTGTGAGTGTCAGGTTGCATGAAAATGATGTTTTACACAACTTGTACTCTGCAACTTGCAACTAATTTGCACAGTTTTACCATGTAAAGCAAGCCCAAGGTGCAAAAATGCACCCATCTAAGGTGGTGATTTAACTAAAACTGACTATTATTAATTAAAATAATATTTGATATATATGTGCTATTTTTGGTTAAGAAAACAACATATTCAGTCTATCATAAAATCATAAATACATAAAAAAAAGCTTAGTATATTATTTTTTTTATCTATATTTTACTACTGTATGGAATGTTCCTCCAGTCACATTTGTGTATTAAAGTATTTTTAAAAATGAACCTGAATCATTGCGAAATAAGCTGGTTTGATGAAATTTAAAAAGATGCTTTGTATTTTATCCTGAAGAATCATGAATCAAATCATTATGAGATCAGAGATTTTAGTAAGTGTGTTAATGCAGCATGTAAAGTGTCGTACTTTGCTGTGGCTGTTGTCTCCATATCGTCCCATGATGTTGACCCGATGGCAGTTCTTATACCAGAAAGCTCCCTTGTACGAGAGAGCACAGTTGGTGACGGCTATGTCGTTATCGTGGTCGTACGTTGAGAAAGGACGGCCGTTGTGGTAGGTCATTGAATCACCTAGGAAAGAGGATCAGCGAGGCATAATTATCATAATGGAAATAGATTATTATTAAGCATACAAAAATAGGCCATTCCTTACAGTTCATGAACAGCAATGACAATAAGGCATGATATTTTTTACAGTCAGTAATTCTTTACATTGTACCTTCTGTGTATTTTTAGTTTTTTAAATAGATATTTTTGTATTATTAGGTAGTAAGAAAAACGTATTATTTTGTTCATAACTTATAGGAAAGTAATAATCGATCTCCAACCTAAGATAAACAAGATCTTGAACACTGGATACGACAATAAAATTTAAGGATGTCTTTAATTTGTGGTACTTTGAAGTTGTCAGTTAAGCAGCACAATGGTTTGTGTTGCCCACACCAGGTTTTGTGCTGCTGTCTAAGGATAAGTTCCTAAGACACACTTATACACATGATGTATATTAGAGATTGCATAAATGGTGATTGGTTCAGAAAGTCCCTGCTGCTGACCTCAGGCATATCTATATCAGCAAACAAGTACTTGATGTAAAAAATTTCAACCCTCCAGTAATGATTCCATGGAATGTTCCCATGGAATGCATGTGACTTGTTCCCAAATTTATTGGTTCATGTTGTACTCCATATTCAACGCTAAGGGCACAGACAATGCTTTAATGCAACACCGTTAATCCTCAAAGGAGTCACATAGACCTGACCCTTAACCTGCTGTCCTTGCTATGAACTCAAGTTGAACTTCTGCAATCTACTTCTGCATTTTAAGTGTGTGTGTGTGTGTGTGGCACGCATGTGCTTGTTCTATTTTGCAAGAACTCACCCCTTTCAATAACTGTTTTCTAATCTTTTTTTTTATTTCTTAGAACTAAACAGGCTGTTTTGTTACTGTGCCTTTAAGACTGGCATATGGAACTAAGCTCTGTTCTGATTGGTTGTCCTTCTTGTGCCTTATTCAAAAAGCAGTTTGGACTGAAACAGTGTATATGACTTGAGTGTGAATGAGTGCTAAACTGCTGAATAGCTGGATATATGTAAATGTGATAGTTTGTGTGACATCACAAAAACAGTCAATTCAAAACAGGCTGTTTTTTGCTGTTTCCAAATATGTGCTGCATGGATTGAATGGTATGTTTTGCAACTTTAACACTTTACGTACTACATTAAAGCAGAAAACTGATTTTTCTATGATATTAGCCCTTTAATGTAATATATTTATTCATGTAGAAATGAAGCACGTATTTAAATTAAGTAAATTAAATGCATCACTATTTCAGTACATGGAATATTGAGTTAATTATAGTATTCACATATTATTATTATTATTATTATTATTATTATTATTATTGTTGTTGTTGTTATTATTACTACTACTACTACTACTACTACTACTACTAATAATAATAATAATATAATAATAATAATAAAATGCTATCCAGCTTTTTCATCAGCTATAACTGCATTTCATCATGTAAACAGAACTGAGCCAAACATTTTTAGGTGCACGTTTCTGAGGGAATTTTACCTGCAGTGCCACTGTAGCCGCCCACATGCACCTTATAGCGACTGCGTGGCTCAGACACAGAGAACTTGTCATACTGAGCGTATGCCGACTCGCCCTTATCTCTGAGATCCACTCGCAACTCATACTGGCCCTGAGAGGTGATCTTATGCAGGTTAGAGAGACCTGGACACAACGAGAGGCAATGAGACTAACACATCAAGCAGAGAGATTAACCCTAATATCACTGTGACAGAGCATTTCAGTTTTATTATGAAGTCACAGAAAAGTTCACACGGTTCATACCGAGCCAGAACTCATCATTCATGTCCCCAAAGCCTGCAGTGTAGTTCTTCCAGTTCCGGAAGAAGTCCACTTTGCCGCTCTGCCTTCTGACGAACACCTGTAGCAAAATAAACCATTAACCCCCAGTATCACAAACCTCCAGTGTGTGTTGATAAGCAACAGAACATGAGAGAGAAAGTGTGTCGCTAATAACATCAACATAGTCATGATAACGCACAACCTTGCCGTCGTGCTGTTGCTTTTACATAACAGTATTGCAAAGTAAACAAAAACGTAAAGTACAGAAGTTCTGAAAGTTGTTTTAAATATGAGTAATTTCTTTAGGTCCAGGAACAGCAGTTATTGTTGTTGTTTAGTAACATTTTACTGTGAGGGATCATTACAGTACCCCAGAATTATTATTAAACAGGGTCTCACACTTAAAAATCTAAATCAATGAAGTCAAGAAAAAGTAAAGATTGAAAATTTGTCCATTTTAAGCTTTTTAAAAACTGCCCAAGCCATCATTTAAACACTGCAAAAATGTAATATGTATAAGTGGGGACATCTTGAATCTGGTGGACATGACCAGTCTTTTTGTTGTGTGGGTCTTTCTCCATTTTGGAGTGGGAAACCATGTCACAAAGGTTGCAGGGCTTAAAAAAGATGCTTAGAATATTAGGCACAGCTCCAAAAGTCAGTATGTACATTTACACAGCCTAAGATTAAATAATACTTTTCCCTTATGATTCTCTGATTTTCTTTTTTGCTATAAACAATATTTTTAAGAGGTTTAACTTAGGATTGTATATAAAACAGATTGATGTTTACTTTTTATATTATTAATGTTATACTACATTTAATATGTATTTTATTAAAAAAAAATTCATTTGTCACAGAGGTCATGTTCACTGGTGTTATCAAGACTCTTATTTTACATTTTAACACAGTATTTTCAGCTCTATTAAACTGCTTCTTTGGGTCATGGCTCATCAGAGAGGAAGCATGAGAAGGCGATTCACACTTGCACCCACTTTCCTCTGGTTGCTGAACCACAGTGGACACTTCGCACTTTAAACTTAAACTGAAACCAACAAACCGTACTTACTGTATTACAGTAACTCATCTGTGACATAATGCTTACTTGCACAGCTGTATGCTCATATCATTCTTTAATATTCTGCATATAATAGTTATTATATTATGTCTCATTAGACCTGCATATGTGTAGATATTCATGCCTGTGTATGTTCAGATATTCACACATCTCTTTAGCTCCTCTCACATTGGCTCTTCCTTATCCATATCTATTTACTGTATTTTTATATGATTTGTCTCTTAGTTAAATACTACAGTCTGTGTGCTTGTCTGGTCTGTTTAGTATGTTACATGTCATATCCGTGTGCACTCACTAAGGCAAATTCCTAGTATGTGTAACATACTTAGTGAAATAAAGTGATAAGTAAAATGATATTATGTGCTTTTCTCAGATCTTTTCTGTCACGCCTCCTGCCGGCTCAGCAGAGACTACCACCCCTCACACCGTGTAGAACTCCCAGAATCCTCTGGGGGATCACATGACCACAGACTCTCAGCCATCTACCTATCCAGGCTCAAGTTCACCTGACTATTGATTGTTATCACCTGTTCATGTGCCCATATAACCTGTTTGTTTCCATAGTCTCCTTTTTAAGTATTGTATCAGTTCACTGTGCATTACCGAGCCTTTTGTTCCAGTGTTTGACCTCCTGGTTTGTTTTCTTGCTCGTTTTTCTTGTTTACAATTCTAGCCTGACCCCTTTTTGACTCTTTCGTGTTATGACCTTCTGCTCATGTCGTGCACTCTGACTTTTAAATTATTTTGTTACTATGTTTATTTTTTTATTATTTATATATATTTTTTTAACAAATTGATTGAATATATTGAAAACTTTCAGCCTAACATCAAACTGATGGTGGGCAGAAAGCCCAGAAAGACTGCACTAAGGCTGCTGTTGTTCTTTCAATGGTGTTGGTGATCTTCAAAGAAGCGTTCAAAGATATATTGGTTGCAATCTCAAACGATACAAATCATAAAACTCACCTGCCATATTTTGTTTTGCCAAAAACAAACAAAAAATAAATAAAATTGAATACGTTTGTTAAGTATGGCACACATGTCCCAATGTATTGCAGGGTCACTGTAGAAGCACAGATAAATGCTTTTGAACTAATCAGACTGTGTGGCTGTAACTAATAGGTGTATAAGGTTCAGTTATTTTCATGGTAAATAAGCAGAGTCAGAACAGGAAGAGCCAACATTACATTAATCACATGGGCACACTTTAAGCTACAATGCAAATGTATAATCATGAGTATTCAGTTTTGATGAGTGGAGGGTAGTTACTCACCAGCCAGCCGCCTCCTTCTGTGGTCATGTCACAGTAGACCTGCAGGGGCTGACTCTCATCACCACGGAGGTAGATGGTAAACAGGCCAGAGGTTGTGTCTCCATTCAGTAAAGCCTGAGAACAGTCCTTAGGGTGTCGGTACAGCACTCCAACTGTATCACACAGAGAGAGAGAGAGCAAGCTTGAGCAAAACACTGATGACTAATAGTGTGTTTAGTATTCCAGAATAGCTGTATGTTCTGTGTGTTAATCAAATTTTTTTCTTGGATTTTACTTCTCCTTCTAAGACCCACTCTTGACATTTGTAAGGGTTAATGTCATAATACATGTTTACATGACCATTTTCTAACCTCTCTTTATCCCTCAGAATAAAACAGACTTTTTTGTTGCTATGCCTTTAGGGTGGTGTATGCAAACTAAATGATCTTTTTTTTCTGATTGGTTGTCCTGTATTGTACCTAAAAAGCAGACCAAACTGAAACACTTCTTATAACTTCAGCATGAATATGTGGGGCTAAACTGCTGTGGAGTGCAAGAGATGGATATATTTAAATGCTTCTTTTTTGTGACATCAAACATACTAAATCAAACTCTCTTCTTTCAGTTTTCCATGGAGCCTTTTTATGTGCATTATATTTATACTGCAGAGTTCAACATATTTTAATATAATATTGCAATGAATATCTTTCATTGGAGCAGTTTTTGACTCTTCCACAGCACAGTGTGAAGTAAGCGATAGAGCACTATCACTTTCATGCAGCAGCAATAAATATACATTATGTGCTAGATTCCTGGACATGGATTAAGCCTAATCTTGGACTAAATTTTAGTGTCAGTGGAGAACTGCCATTGAAAATTCTTATTAGTCTATCTTTATGTTTAATCTGGGAAACTGGGCTTATGTGTCCAAAAGTATGCAGACACCCTTACCCTTATAATTAGTGAATTTAGCTACTTTAAGGTGCACTCATTGCTGAAGCAGGCATTCAACTTGTTACACAGCTTGTATAATTCACATTCACATACACAGCTTGTATAATCTCCATAGAAAAGCACTGCCAATAGAATGGGGTGCTCTGGGGCAGCCACACATGAGTCACCATGCCCAATGCCAACCATCAGCTAAAGGGGTATGAAACTCCTCAGCTGTTTTCTGGAGTTATAGGGCTCCACTCAGTAGCTTTGGGTTGAGTTGGAGTGACCAAGAACTAATCGTCCAGCATCAATGTTTGCTCAAACTCAAATCCTCACAGCAATGTTCCAACATCTAGTCTAAAGCCTTCCCTAGAAAAGTAGAGGCTGTTACTGCAGAAAGCATAGGCAAACTCTCTATTAATACCCTTGATTTCAAAAGAAACATTGGAGGAGCAGGTGTCTACAAACTCTTGGACACAGTGTATGTTCTTAATACTGGCAATTTCTTCCACCTAAAACAAATGAAGCTGCTCAAAATAAAGTGGCCCATTGTTGTTACTTAGCAGCAAATGGTCAATGGAATGATACATGTATAGTGATATGCCCTTATCAGATATAACAGTATGGCTAGAACGCTTTTCAACCACTGTAACTGTGGGCAGGACTGCTGTATAATTGAATAACAGACAATAATGCCCACTGGAAGCCATTTAGCATGGGCATATATAATACATAATCATTAACAAAGTGGGTGTGTCTTGCCCTTTTTAGCTAGGGGTAGACACGATGTTATATGTGTATGTGAACGCACTGGTGGTGAAGACGGTGGAGATGATGCGACTCCTCATGGGTCCAGAGATGGCCTGCAGACGGACGGTGTACTCCGTGGAGGCGCTTAGCTGGCCCATGTTGTAGGATGTGGATGTGGGGCTGAGGACCACCTCCTGAGAAAGGACATGAGGGTCAGATACAGCATGGCATTTCCAAATGCAACATTATAGATATTATTAGCTAAAGAATTAAATTAGATGTCTTAAAAGCAGAAATAAACAGATATTTAGTCCAATTTAATCTTAGCTGCCATCTTCTTTGCTCTAGACAGAAATGTAACCTATCTGTACAAGGACAGCCCTGAATATTGAAAAGCAGCTGAATAGGATTATTTGGCTGCTCATGTATTCCACTGACCCGGACTGCACCATCAGCAGACTCGTAGGTGAGGATGTAGCCGGTGATTTCCGCTCGCGGTGCCTTCCATGTTAGCATGGCACTCTCTGTCTGGATGTTACTGGCTGCCAGATCCTGAGGAGAATCCACATCTGCAGCAGAGAGCAAACACTTAGCACTGGCATTACAAAATTCAAAATTCACTAAAAAGAAAGTCTAATTTGTCAGTATTTAGTGTCTCCACACTTTCCCTTTATTGCAACTTCCGTTCTTTTCAGAAGACTTTCAGTTTTTCAAAGAAATCTGCAAGGATAGTTTTCCACACCTCCAAAGTTCAGTCTTAGAAGTTGATTTAATTTTCTGCTTTTCATGATCCGGGGGAATCCCAAACACATTCAGTGATGTTGCTGCTCTGATGTAGGTGCTAATGATTAGTTTATTTTCAATATATCTTAGCTACCAATGAGTCAAGTACCATTAATATCTGAGGATCCTAAATGGATAGACAGCTATTCACCTGCAAATTGATATCATTTTATTGTTTGTTGTACCTTAGATAAATCATACTCAATAGATTATTCTTACTCATTTAGCACATGAAATTCCTTTTATTATTCAATATTCTTAAAGTCCCCTGTTTTCGTACAGTATGAGTACTTAGGTGTTTGTGTGAGTGAAGGGTGTGAGTATATGTGCATGTGTTACCGGTAGTGAACTCCGTGGAAGTGGCGGCGCTCTTGGCTGCTTCTCTCACTGCATAGACTTTGACAGTGTACTCAGTGGCAGGGATGAGTGAGCTCATCTCAAACTCCACAGTGTTTCCAGACACTCTCTCCATCACTGGAGGCACTGCAAAAAACATATTCATCATGAGGATTTTAACCCTCCTTTTAATCTAGACACGGAATATCAGTTTAGACTTAGGGCCATGAACTGCAGCGTTGATTACCAAAGGAAACACTACATTCACCCACACCAATAGATATTTTACAGTCATAGATCAACCATACAACATAAAAATACATCAGAGAGTTGATGTAACACAAGCCAATGGAAAAGAGTGACCACAGAAGCAAAAAGATAACATTAGCAGCTAATGATATAACAAGGTACAGATCCCAGGGTTTCTGAGTCTGTCCTTGCCAGGCCTGGAGTCTGGCCTTCATGTTTTAGAATGCATGGGAAAGTCCAGATAGGTTTGAACTGTAGTGTAGCGTTACCACTGTCTGCACTGTAGGTGATCACATATCCGTCCACTGTGGCCACAGTAGGCTGCCAGAGCAGCAGCGCCTCAGTGTCTGTGATGTTAATTGCTCTCAGACCCCGAGGTTTGTCCAGCGCTGAGAGGAAACATACATAGAAGGTTTTGGTTTAAAATGTATTAAGTGTATTAAGGAGCAGAAAAGCTATTTTTTGTACCAAGGTTTCACCATTATCAACATTACGTTTAAACACTCATGAGACACTTGTAGGTTCACTGGTGGTAGATATATTTGAATCAGTCAGTTTCCGTATGATGCACCAAGCCACTCTGATATTCAATGAATGAGTAACTCTAATGAATCAGGCAGAAATGCAAAAAAATCACTGGAATTCTAAGCCCATATGAAAGAAAAATATATGTACACATATTTGCTTGTTTTAAAATTATATGTGCAATATTTGCAACATTTTAAAATAGTGTTAAATATATTGAACCATGATGTTTTTGAATAATTAAATATGCACATTTGTCAATATATTGAAATATATGCACATTTGTTGAAATATATGTAATAGTGACAACTTTAATGTGTGTGTATATATATATATATATATATATATATATATATATATATATATATATATATATATATATGTCAAACATATTTGAAAATAGAGGCTATTAAAAACTGCCATGTATTTTGAAAAATATGTGGTAATATATTTCCTTTGTATATGGAAATATGGAAAGTTAAAGTGAATAATTTTCAGCATTGCCTAATATCTACTATCACAGTTACTGAGCAAAGAAATAGTTTATACAGCTATTTTCCTCTGCTTCACCTGAATTTCACTTATGTTACTTAAGTCATGTTTACTTATTTACTTTCTTTAAGAAAGTCTAAATGTATCTGAATTGCAGGCTATGTGTAGTTTGTGTATAGGTGCATGTGTGAGGTATATGAACTGTACCTGTTGTAACTCTATCAGCGCCTGGTTCGCTCTCTTCCAGTCCCTTTACTGCTGTGACTGTCACCTGGTAGGTCACTCCAGGGGTCAAGTTGGGCAGCACTGTGTGGGACTCACCTCCATCAACCGTGATCGTCATTGGACTGCCTGCAGAGGGCGGTAGAGAGCCAGGTTTTTACCACTGAGTGCAATTATATTCATGCACTTTATGCCAACTGCCACAAGAGGGCAGCGTTCTCTAAGAAAACTGATTTGGGATCATGCTGGAGCAAACTGAGGAAGAAGGCGCTGATGGAGGAAACAGAAGGCTTTGATAGATGACATCCACCAACAGGCCCACATAGCTGAGGATGTGCTTGCGTGCCCTTCTGATCTGAAAACCTGAGCACGTCATGCTGATGCCAAAAAGGACACGGTGTGACTGAATAGGAGTTTAAAGACCTGACAATTTTTGCGAATATATTGCCTAAAATTTGCACATAAAGCGAAGCCACATCAGAACATCTGAGGACAACTTTAACACTTTTTAGAAAGTTTGTGTGTATCTAGAACATTCTGTATTCTGTCATAGCTTTGATTTTTTTTTTCCTTTTAATTATACAATGCTGGGCAAAGGTTTTAGGCACTTGAGAAATAAGATTTAAAAAGTTTAAGAAGTTATTTATTTGGTAAGAAAACTTAATTTGTTCAGAAAACAATATTATATTAGATTTCACTAAGTACAAATAATATTAATGCAGTAAGAAGTGATTGAAGTTTGTTTAACCATTTCCAGGCCTTGCTTTGTGGCAGCCCAGTATTAACTGTAGTTATCATCCAGTAACTGGTTTGGCTACGCAACACTTCATTTTATTAAATCAGTTGTGCTGGTGATGGAATTGAACAAATCTAGAACCAAACTTTGCTCTTCAAACTAACTCACAAGGTATCAGTTACACTAAAACAAATATTTAGTTGAGATGTTGTCCTAAGAAGTACAATTAGTAAAACCTTTTGAGTCACATCAGCTGTCCTCCTTTCATATTAAAAATGACATTTTAGCGAATTTTTTATCCAGAGTCACGTACAGTTTTAATTGCGTTACAGAGGTAGGGGAAAGTAGTGATAGGCATTTCACTCAAGGACTTTTTTTAGTGCACACTGTTAGAAATGAAGGTTCTGTGCAGGTACATTTTTCATTCCTCAAGGTAAACAATGTAAATGTACCCTCAAAAGTACAAAAGCGGTTTTAAGGTCCAATTGTGAACCTTAAATAAGTTTTTTTTCCAGGTGAAAAGTACATATTTGTACCTTTTCATGACCTAATATTTTAAAACAGAACAATAAAATAAAAGCCTGGAGACGAGATGGGGTGTGTGGAGTCAGTACAACTTAGAAAATATAACTTCGATGGATTATGGTACAATTATGTTCCCTGACTAAAGGTACTGAGATGTGCCCTTGAGGGTACCACCCCAGTGATGAGAGGGGTACTGCCCCAGTGAGAGTTTAGTACCTTTATTTCTGAAAGTGCTGCAGAGAACCGAACCCTAATCTGCCATGTGGTTGGCAGCAGTGTTACCCACTATACCACATCAGTCCCTGCATAGTTGGTTAAAAAAAAAAAAACACCACTGGGTCATTTAATGCAGGACATATTAATTATTCTCCTTGTGCTAAGTGCAGATATTGACATACTAAAAACAGTCCATGTGACTTTTGATAATTATCCATTATGAAGTTTTGAACATTATGAGGGGTTGCTGTAGTGTTGTGGTAAACACTACTGCCCCAAAAAGAGGCCTAGAGCAATATGACAAAAGAAATACGAGAAAAGTTGGTATGACTCAGAGTTTCGACTAATTGTACGTCTCAGGACAACAAACATTCTTTTGTTGGGTCAACTAAATGTTTCTTTGTCAGCCAGTAGAACTAATTATAAACAGAAGTTGAGTAAACAAGAAAAAAATAGTGGAAATTCTTGTTGCTCTTTGCTGCATGGATGCATTTGGATTCAAGAAAATCAGTAAACTTTGGTCAACTTTGCAGTTTGCTCTATGTCACAATTTTTCCTAAACTAAACCAAGACAAAATAGAAATTATTATCTTTACTAATTCTGATTATGACAGAACTATAGCTAATATCTGGACCATTATTGGCAAATGTAGAAAAAAAAAAGTCATTTTTTGTTCTGCCCTTAAGTTTGAGAAGCAAGTCAACACAGTTGTGAGAGGCAGCCTATTTCAGCTAAAGAGCACAACAAAACTCACACATCCTATTTATTTTTTTATCTTCTTGATTTTTGCGCCTCACTCTACTTGGGTATCTATCAGCCACTTTCAGTTCCTGACAGGTGCCAAGAAAAGGGAGTCGAGTTGAATTAAGTTTTATTATTAGTTGTTTAGAAAAGCTCTGCATGCTGCTGAGCTATATCTCTGACTACTGCCTCCCCACGAGCCCTACGATCTTCTAACTAGTTGCTCTTAGCTGTTTCATGGTCTCACATGAGGATTTATCTATTCCTGCCCCAAGACTCTCCTGTTTTTATAACATCTTACCCAGAATAGAGCCACACTTAAAAACATATTTATTTTCCTAGGCACGTTTAGAGTCCTTTTAGAGATGCATGCTGTTATCTGTACTCTCTTGGTTTGTTCTGTCCTACCATGAGTGCTCTTCTCTTTTGTCTTCCACTGTTTTCCTGTTTTAGTATATTTTACTCAGTAGCACTGTGTCTTTGAAATGTGCTATATAAATAAATGTGACTTGACTTGACATAAGAAACGGTACCTCATAAATCAAAGTAGAAATACAAACCAGGGCCTGTCATATTCAAGAAATATAAAAAAGAAATATAAGACCACTTATATGCTGCACATGATGTATTACAGTGAGTGTGTTGTTAAAATGCATTAGCTGCACAAAAAATGTTTTTGTCATCTCCGCATTTACAGGTCTACTACTGGCACCCCTGAGAATGCTCAGCCTACACCAACCCTCTGCTGCAGAAGCACTTATGCATTATGAAATACGATTCTGCATAGAGAGCCATATTGCAAGAAGAAATAAGCAAAAACATTCCCTTTCTTCAGTTTCCTTGGATGTAATTTTCCTTTTTTTCTTGTTTGTTGTACTTTACTGTACTATAAATGTATTCAAACACAATGCTTATGACACAGTTATACACTTACCGCCCTGAACAGGCACGTAGGTGACCCGGTAGCTGTCCACACGGGCACGGGGCACGGTCCAGTGAACAGTGGCAGAAGTGTCGGTGACCTCAGAGAAGCGGATGCCCTTTGGTGTTCCCAAGCCTTCCAGGAGATGACACACAGTGAGACAACACAAGACGCAGGACAAAACACAAAGCATTAGAATATACGCTGGACAGCTGGATCTGAAGCCAGTTCAAGGAAGCTGAGTCTCCAGTCATTCCAAGACACAGACAAGCTATTTCAGAGATGTAGAGATAGTGGAACTGAAGCACAACACGACTCTGCTTAAAATATCCCAGCTGGCTATGGCACAAATCTGAGCATTGAGGCTAATATCGTGAAAAACCACCGATGAGAAACACACAAACAAAGAAGACGGGCCTCGCGGCCATTTGTCAACGCCAGGCCGCGGAATCTTGCGTGACACACACGGGGAGATTAACTTGCCCCATTACAGGAGCACAATGGTGAGACATGCCAGCGTCACACTCAAGAGGAAAGAGAGGCCCCCTGGACAGAGCCGGACGACCAGAGACAGACGCACATTCAGGACAAACACAGAGCAGTTTGCTCCGTCCAATGGGTAAGACCCGTGACTAGACAGCCGGTTAAAGACATCAGACGGAGCAGAGGGAAAGAGAGAGAGTGAACGACAAGGGAGAGGTAATGGGGTGGAAGAGAAGGAGAGATTTTAGAACATTTGAGTATCCTGAGCAACTCTGTGGAATCCCAAACCAAATTATTATCTAAACAGAAGCTGTGATTGCGATTTTTGGCAATGATATCTACTAAATGCTACGGCATATCTACTATACTACTAGTATATGTACAAGACTGCGGCCTGATATCTATATCTGGATAGTATCAGTACTGTTCGTTAATCTGTATATTTAGGTAGAATTTCTAATAGACCACTGGTTGAAACAATTACAGCAGGCATGTCAAACTGGGGACCTTCCAGGCCAAAGTGTTGTGGACATTAGCATTTACCCTCATTTAACGCTCTGAATTCAGTTCATGAAGGCCTTGCTAAGTAGCTGATGAACTGAATCAGGTGTGTTTAATGAGGCAGTGTGCTGAAGTCTGCAGTGTTGTGGCCTGCAAGGACTGGAGCCTGACACATGTGCATTAGAGTATACTGTGCAACTCTAGACAATCAAATCAAATTTCAGATTAACATCAAATTGATATCTATACCAAATAGTGAATCTATTAAATGGCTGGTTGAATCCATTCCCACCCCTTTGAACTAGATTCCTAATCCTGATCCTAGCATACCCACTGGTTTGTGCATTTTAGGGTTTTCACTGCTCCCAACAATTCAACTAATCAGCTAAGTAACAAGCCCTTCCTGAGCTGGAGAGAATGTATTAAAGCAGGGAAAATGCAAAACTTTTCAAGGCACTGAGGACTCTCTGACCTAGGATGGAAACCTCTACATTAGAATGACTCAGGACCAAAAGCAGAAGAGATAGAAACACAGATAAGACATACAAGACAAACAGTGTACCCAACAGCTGTTGGTGAATAAGAACAGATTAGTATTCAAACTAAATTAAACCACTAAACAGTTAAGAACATCTTGTGAGAAGCATTAAACACATTGTGAAGAGATGGAGGTAAAGTACAGGTCAGGTCAAGATGTTGCCTTCATCGGCTTGCAGGAGTTGCTTGTACAAAACACATTCAAATACCTGTTCGAGCTACGCCCAAAATGGGCTGGAAGTTCCGTCCCGCAATTATCCCAAAGAGTTCGATTTCATACTTTGTATCTTCAACAAGACCAGAAACCACTTCTGTTCTCTTGTCTCCAGACACTCTCATCAGCTTTGACTCAGCCAATCCATTCGAATCCGTGATTTTGATGACAAATGTTTCAAAGGTGTCTTCTGGAGCTGTCCATTCCAGCGTAAAACCATCTGGCTTGGTGTTGGAGACGAAGAGATGGTTCACCTCAGGTTCAGCCTCTAGATGCATAAAGGAATACAGGTGTTCTTCCTTCTGTGGGCTCCAAACATACTCTCAACTGGTTATAAAAGCAGTAATTTAAATTTGACCACACCTGGTCAGTCTGCATGCTTCTTTGAGTTAACTGTTGTTACGTTTGTGAAGATAAGAGCACAGGAAGAACATGCAAAAGCTTGGAATAATGAAATGATTAATAGAATCCAGATTGCCCATTCTAGTTAGAACACCAAAGCCTTAGGAGTGTTAGTAAGAAAGCTAATGATGAGTTTGAAGCGTGTTTCTTTACATTCTTTTTATTCTATAAAGTCACGCTAAAAATAATCTTAACTGTCTTCAGATGGGGGCTCTTAGGGGGTTTTAGGCCTTCTTTATATGGACAAGAGATTGAATTGTGTTGCCTGAACAAGAAGACCACTGTTCAAGAATGTGATATTGGATTTTGAGAAAAGCAAAAACTTAAATGCAGTGGTAAATGTGGTAAATAAGTATGTAAAAGTATCCTCCAGTGTGATGTGAACAAACAAGTGACTATTTTGCAGCAACAAAGACGTCTAACATTGCCAACAAAAGCTGGTAAAGAAATAAAACTGAAGGGTTTACTATCTAATTCCTTTGGTTTCCAGAACATCATGCCATTACCACCACATAAATGTGGTCAGATACATAAAGTCTGACTGTCCTCACTTTCCAAGTCATCTACGGTCATTAGCATCATGAAATATGATCTATGTAGCAACCTTTTCCAGCTTAATGTAAGCTTTCTTCTGCACATGGATAGACATAGAAAAAGTGAGTGTAACAAAATATTCTTTGAAGTGATCCATAATTCATCATGTATTGTTGGTGGGGATTACTAGCATGACTATCATCAGCAAGAGAAGCCTAGCTGCCTAATCCTCTTTATGCCAGTCAAATAGAGTACAGCAACTAACAGTGAAGCAACCTGAAACATTAACTTTTCTCTGCATTTCACTGTTATACCACCCCTACCCTTAAAACCACTTAATCTAATGATGGTGGCTTTAAAATCCCCCTAGTCATTACCGAGAAATGCTGTAGAGTCAAGAAGACGGCCATTAGACCCAACACATAATGGTTAGATTCAAACAGCGGGACTAAGTAGGCACTGAGTAGGCATATAGGCAAGTGCTTGAAAGCACTGGAGTAGTATGTCAATGTTTACTTGCATCATTAAGGGAGGATTCTTCTGGTGGATGGTAAGAGTACCAAGAAGATCAAATGTAGAATGTAGACAGAATGAAACAAACAAAGTTGCATCCAACTGAGCCAACACAGCACTTAGCAAAACCATTGCTGTCCTAAATTGAACCTCCTTATTCAGCAGTTGCTGTAACTCTTCTGAACATTGCAGCAAAGAGGGGGCCTCCGAACACTTGACCGGACTGAACCTCTTCTTCCTCTCAAGCTCGGGATGACGTGAGAATCACAAGCTATTTGTTGCGAGGAGAAGAAGTGGTTGGAAATGAAACGCAGCGAGGACAAATCCTGTGGAGCTGTCACTCTTCATTAGCATGGAGCGCTAGCTTGAGAGAACTGTCAGTAGGACTGTTGGGGGGAGGGAGGTCTTGTGTGGGTGATTTAAAGAGTGCTAACATGTGGTAACCACAGATCACTTTCATCAAGCTGGTCTCTGCTAAGTCTCTCAGCCCGGACAAAGAGCCGTCTGTTCATGGAGGAGGAACGAGGCGCCAGCTAACCTGCAGAAAGGAGGTCTGCTGGTGGTCATGATACTGCAAGCAATGGCTCAATAGCCTTCCAGGTTGTTGCCTGCCAGTACAGTTGATATAATTGAGCTAAGCACAGGGCAGCTAAAGTATCCTCTAAAAAATGGGTTGATAAATGGTTCTTGGTCTGGACATGTGCTTCAAATGAAAAATGTCAATGGAAAATTCTGCAGATGTTTCAAAATTATATTGTAAAGATGTAAACAATGTCCTCCAAAGTGGTTTGATTCTACAGAAATCAGTGTTGGTCACACTGGTTGTGATAGGAACCAGATGTCCAACACATTTATCGCCTCTGAAAGCTACCTCAAAGAAAGTTAAACAAACAAAATAGTTATGAATAAGTTGCCCAACGCCCAAAACATTGTTTTATAGCAGTTTTTGGGCCTGTTTTTGGTCTGAAAATGTATTTATAAAATACATTCAGGGCAGAGACACATGGTAGAGAAGTATATATAGGGTGGAGAGGTACATGCAGGGCACTATGCAACAAAATAGCACCAAAGGGAAACTTTTTTATTAGATTTAAATACTTTACTATTATCAACGTTACATATAAAATCATTTGGATAGTAAATAAAATGTCTATATTTGTGATGTACACTCTGCAATCCCTGCTTCCTGTCATTACCATTTGTGCAGAACTTGAAGTGGGCAGGTGTCTCCACAATGCACCATTTCCCATCAGACCACGCTAAATAACTTTGTTTACATCTCAACGATTAAAACGATTCTCCTTTAATTGCTATAGAATCTTTACACAATGCTAAAAGGTTCCTCACACTCACACATCTCATTTACGAAAACGGTTCCTTAGAACTGTCCATGGAAAGGTCATTTATGGAACCAAAAGTGTTCTTACATGATGACACTCCAAAGATCTCTTTTGGCACCTTTATTTTCAAGAATGTATTTCTCAGACCATATAGGGTACTTGAGTAAGACCTCAGCGATATTTCCATTTTGAACTTCTACCAATTGCTTTCCAAAAGAACTTCCTGCCCGTATACAAGAATGAGTTAAAAACTTGTGTTTAAGTTCTGTCGTTAGACTAATTTCAGTCTAATCTGTTTGCCGTATTCATTTCACCTATTAGCATGCACACTCGCAAGTCCGACACGACTGTGGCCCCTGCAGCCACTGCTTGATAAATGCCAAGAAAATGTGTGAAAGTGAGGCCGGAGAATGAAGGCTGTTGCAGAGTTAGAAAACCGGGTCTGCATACTGACGAGAGCTTTCAGAAGTAATGACAAAAACTCCTTGGGATCACTTCCCTGGCAGGCCGCTCCTGCCCAGTCGGCATCTTTATTTGCTGAGTAACTAAGCAAAGCCAAAACTTCTGCTTGGAGCTAATAACCAGCGTCAAAAGCATAATGTGGTGGGCTGTGGAGCCATCACAACTATGTTGTTGAGAACATGTGTCATAATAATCTTCTATCCTTGGAAAGTAGTGTTTTGTGTTTGTCATAATGATGTTGATACTCAAATGAAAAAAACACTGTGCACTGGCATGCTTACAATGCTTGTTGTATGCTATGGCCCATTAAAAATAAAAGGCTATTATTAGCTTGACTTTTCTTTGGCTGATGAGCTTAAATAAGGCTGTGATCATAGAGGGAGGTCGGCCTGTGCACCTGCAGGCTTTGTCTGTGATTAGGCAGACCAGAATGCGCAAGGCTTCATTATGCTCTGCTGCAGGTGTGCTGTCAATGTGAGCATGCTCTAACTTGCCATTGAGCAGGAGAGAGTGGACTAAAACCTTTAAACGTGCAGGATCCACAAAAGCTGACGTGAAAAGGTTGCTTGTGGTTTTAGGTAATTACGTGTACATCAAACACATTAGGCTGAAAGCATTCCTATAATTGTGAAAAAGAAAAAAATCCTATTTATAAAACTGATAGTTCTGGATATAAAATCTGAGTTTTACCTCTTTATGCCATGACTAACAAGACCCCTTAACCACTGTAAACAAAGAGACTCATTGGAAACCTTTGTATATTATTTTATATATATATATATATATATATATATATATATATATATATATATATATATATATATAGGAAACCCCTCAACTGTAGTAAAACCATTTTAATGCACAGCCTATCATGGTTTATGGCTACATTTGATAAGTGATTTGAATAGATTTGAATTAGAGATAAAAATGTTAAGAGTGCTCTTATTAGTACATGCCGGTAGATAAGCCACTATAAATGTTAGATGTTAGTCATCACTCAGCATCCAGTGTGTTACACAGAGTGAAAAGGCATTAGTACTGAATTCGAATCCCTTCTTGAGAACGTGTTACTGTTAATAATGGTGAAGATACAAAGAAGAGGTGCTGAAAGGAGACGAGATGCTCCGGCACCAAGCGAACGGTGGTACCTGTGATGGCCTCAGCAAAGACTGGCTCTAAGAGCTCTCCCTTGTACAGTCCATACAGAGTGACCCTGTAGAAAGTGCTGGGAGAAAGGTCAGTAACGGCCAAGCTGAACTCTTGGCCTGACAGAGTGTGGTTCTGGCCTTCAGAGAGGCCATCAGGGTCGGCCACCTCGATCACAAAGCCCTCAAACTCCCCTCTCTCCAGCTCCCAGGAAACATTGAAGCTGTCCCAGGACACCTCAAAGATGGTGACGTTGCCAACCAGCGGCTTTTTGTCGTCTGGATGATAAACAGAAGAAATTAAGCAGACAGGCAGTGGAGCACTGGTACATGTGAATGAACACATCTCGTAAAGCTTGATGCGTGGAGGCAGCAGAGAAGTTCGGGATAGTCTTCTTTCTTCAGCTCAAGTATAGCGCTCTGTACTGCAGTGCTGTATTCATAAAGCAGTAGGTACATTCAAGAACAAGTTCAGCAGAAGTGAAGGAAAGTTAATGTGTATATAAAACAAACAGAAAATTCACAAAATCCCATTTCTCAATTTATTTTTCATTTTCTCACACACACACACACACACACACACACACACATTTTTCTAAGCCGCTTATTCTTCTGGCTCATGGGGGGTGCTGGAGCCAATCCCAGCAGTCATGGGGCGGAAGGCAGGAAACACTCTGGACAGGTCGCCAGTCCATCGCAGGGTAAACACACAGGCATATACACTCACACACACATTCACACCTAGGGGCAATTTAGCATGTCCAATTGGCTTGACTGCATGTCTTTGGACTGTGGGAGGAAACCGGAGCACCCAGAGGAAACCTACTAAGACATGGGGAGGTTTTTCATTCTCATTGCACCCAATTCATATTTGACCCTTTATTCTATGGCCCCAGGATAATTTAGATCTATGAGCTAAAAGAATAAACCATGGTGTTAAAGCAGTGCACTGAAGAAAGTAATGCACCTAATTTACCTGATGCAAATGTGCTCATTATTTCTAGCTAAATAAGAGAACATACTGTACTTTCAGGGGTGCCGGATGGTGTTTTTAGTTGGGGGTCTGAAATATAAGCAGATATGCAGTCATAGGTTTAGAACTAGCTTACAACTCTACATACACTTTTACTCCGGACATGTAAAGTTGCTTGTGTTTTAGTCAAAAGCCAAAGCATCTAACAGTTGGCAAGGGAAGTGATTCGGCTCACTGTAATGAAAATGCAACCTTAACTTGAATATTGCATTGCTACTGCAGATTTTGAAAATATACAGCTGTATGCAAAAGTTTAAACACACCCACAGACATTTTTATGCGAATTTTAGTGCACAATGTTTTGTGTTGCTGAGATTAATATATTGGAAAAAACACATAAAATATAACGTTTGCAAGTATTACATTTTATGTTTTTTTTTCCACAATGTGTTTAAATTCACAAATAAACAGTAATTGTGCATTAAAATGTGCAGTTCTATTGGATGTGTTAACTTATTTTCGCTTAGAAAATCAACAAAACATGTAATTTGACTAGGCACATCCCACATTTTTGCAAATTGTGTAAATAAGACAAAACATAAAAATGCAAACTCCTAAAACAAACACACAGCTTTTTTATGGACACATTTGAAGGTATTATTTACTTTTATCTTTACTTTTAGCAGTACCAGTTAAACAGTCCTGAAATCTGGGGGTACTACACACCCCCAACACCCCACTTAACATAATCCTGCAAACTTTTGTCTTTGAATTGACATTTTTATCATAAATTATGCTAATATAATACTTGTTATGAATATAGAAATAATGACATGCACACTTAAATTAAGTAGATTCAATGTATTACTTCATCAGTGTGGAAAAGTTATCCTGAAAAGTAGTTATGTTGGAGTTTTTTTCCATGACAGCTGCAATATGGCAATTCTATAAACCCCATTCATTTCTTAGAAACCTCAGCAGTAATAGCAGCCAATGAAAACCATTTTAAATGATCTGAGGAAAGCGTGTCTCCTCTGTGAGTAAAGAGTAATAAACATCTGTGTCTGTTGATCTCCAGTTCAGTTCCATCTGTTCCATGCAGAACGAACATCTGCCCATGCAATGAAATGGTGCTGCATGACATTGTAAAGTCGGTAGTGATAAACAGGCTCATCTGCAGAGTCATCCTTTGGTCTTAGCCCATTAGCAGCGTCCATGCACCTGAGTAACAGCTTGCTGAGGCAGCTCTGGTATTAATGGCTCGGAGAGGAGCCATTAATTTCTGAAGGTTCTGCGTAGTCTGCTGTGAGCAGAAGTACGCCGAACACTTCAAAACGTGCGCGGCGGCCATGCAGTGCAGCGTAACCCGTAATTGAATATCATTGTGCTCCGTCAGCATTCATGAGGAGAGAGGTGCAGATAGCCTGGAGATGCACCACAGGCTTCCATTATCCTCTCAATGCACATTCAAGTGGGCGCAAGCATGGTGGGCAAAATGGAATGAAAGACAATGGGGATGGAGTGAATGACCTTCACAGGCATCAGCTGACAAATTTGCTTATGAAAGGTGACATTGTAAGTGAGATTCAAAACTTTCAATTAATTAAATCGTCACATTCTTGGTCTTTTTGTTAATCTAAATCAGGATTCAATTCTGTGTGCCTTAGGTCTGGAATTCACTTCATTTGGATTGATGAATGATGAGATGGTGCCTTTTTATGACAAGCCAGAGTCACCTTAAATGAATACTCCTCAGTTTTTCAACCAAAACACACTTACAAGAGAAACCAATAGGCAGCTGCTTCAGCCAGTTGCTTCAGCTGCCGCCCATTGGCTTCTGTTGTAGGTGTATTTACAATGAACATGTTTTCTGTTCTTATCTAGGTACAGATTTAACTTATTGTCTGTGGTAATGGACTGCATGATACAGATCTGGCAGATAGAGGTTAAACTGAAAACCCACTGGAATATTCCTTTAAGGACTTTGTCACAAAGGCTGTCTTTTCTTCATGCATGCTTGCAAGCACATTTACTATTAGCATATTCATACGCATGCATCCCACTATAATGCAAAGGCATAAGCATTTATTCTCATTTTTAGTGTTTGATGTTGGTGGGTTAAGGGGTTTAAAGGGTTAATCATTGTAAAATCTGACTCTCATCAGTCTTCATCATTGAAATAAGTGGAAGTTATTGGTAAGTTTCCTCCATTAATAATATATCATTGCTGCCATAACGAAACCCATATCTAATAAACAGTAACTTTACTGGAGAAGGAAAAAAGGCTTAAATTTTATTATTCTTATATTGTAATATATTGTAATATTGGACACTGTCTATTAGTGCATTTGTCATTAAATTATTGCAAATTCTAGCATTTCTTGAATTGTGTGAAACAAGCAAAAAATATAAATAAAATAGTTATGAGGTTTTGCTATAACAGCTGCAATATATATCCATATATATACATATCAACACTTTTGTCCAAAAACCTTGCATGTCCACTTTTGTTTGTACTTTTCTATCAGTTACAATGTGTAAGAATTTTATATATATATATATATATATATATATATATATATATATATATATATATATATATATATATATATAATATATATATATAATATATGTATGTGTATATATATACATGTATGTATGTATGTATGTATGTATATTTTACATTCAAAAGTTTGGAATCACTTGTCATATTAAAAATTGCTATTTAATAATAGCCTTTACAGTGTAGACTGAAATGTTATAAACTAGACACCAAAATGTAAACCACTGGTTTATTCACAATAACTAATTATCTATTTATACTAATTTCTTGACATAAAAGAACTGTCAATCTGCAAATGGCCATTTGATCTGATTTGGTCACTGCTTTTCATTATGGAATGGTACTTTTGCAGTTTCCTACAACTTGTACCCTACAATCTAAAAAAGGGTTCTTTAGTGAAGCAAAATTATATATGGAACTATGAGAACTGGTAAACTATTGGAATAAAATGGTTCTTTGCCTGGTAAATGACTGCCCTCTATAATAGAGAAGCTTTTGTGTGGATTCTTAAACAAAAGCTTCTATATAGGACAATCAAAAAAGATTCCACTATTGTTTGTTACATTTTTGCTAAGAGTGTATAGAATGTTAGCATCATGTTAGAATAATTTTATATCTATCTGCAACAAATTTGTTTAATATTATTGAAAACAGTGGTTTTAAACTTTTGAATGGTAGTATGCATATATATAATATATATATATATATATATATATATATATATATAATTATATATATATACACACATGCACATATGAGTATATATTGTCACTACTGGGACAAAAGCTTGTATCTACAAAGTGAAAAAACCTTTGACTTTAAATGGCAATTAATGAAACTAAATTTACTTCTGTTGTTCATATTCATAATGAGATTATAACACAACGTAAAGGGCAGCTGGAATTTTCAAATTCTGTAAAATGCAAATAAAATAAAAAGACATAAATGGAGATACAAGGTTTTGTCCTGACAGCACTGATACACACATATGACTGATCTTGGGTGCTGCTGAATGCATACTGTCCCTCAATGACCTCAAATGATGGGTCCCCAGACACTTGAGCTGCGATCCTTGTAATCCTTTCACCAAGGCACCCAATGATTGTCCATCAGGATAAAGGCCCCAGACCAAGTGGTCTCCCTGCCCCCACCCACCCTCATCCCATTATGGGCCTGTGGAGAATGTATGCTCCATGTTTGTACTCTGTGTCTGGAGGCGATAATGGCTGCAGAAATGAATTCGTGGGATTATAGCGCTGCTGATTCCAGAGGCACTGTTTTAACAGGCACCTCAGCATGGGGCCTTTCTATTACCCCGCCCCTCCGTTCATCCTGGTCAAATCACACAAAACCAGAGGGGAGTGGCCTCATTTGGACAATTATCACATGAATAAGCTTTGTATGTGCGTGTTTGTGTTTCTGTGTGGCATGGTATATATTTTTCGCACCACCAGTTTTTAAGGAGTTAATGTATTCTTTTCCACTGTCTCCCTCATGTCATATTACTTTCCCCCTTGCCTTACAAGACTACCCAGTTATGTAACAAGGGACATTTTTTGTCTTTAAATATTTGGTTTGGATGCTCAAGCAGCACTTTAAGTACCACCAAAAATGTCATAATCATCCTTATTTGTCTTTCCCACATTGCTTTAAGGAGTAAAATAAATCCACATGTTGTAAATGTGGAACTGAAAGGGGACTGAGGATGTATAGTTTGGAGCTAACAATGAATTCAATTCATTCCACAGCTTGGCTTCTGTGCTTGGCAGCAGGACTATATGGATGAAAAGATTTCCCTGGCCAAGAGGGTAGCAGAGAGAACCTAAAATTAAATTTACAGAGCTTTGTACACTCTATCCTCACACGCCAAAAGAAATATTGACAATATTGGGGAGAAAACTTTTAAAAAATTGATTCCTTATGTTCACTGCAATGCCTGGTGGCTGGATGAATGAAGTTATACAGCAGATAAATCGCTCTTTCTGGCCAAGAGGTTAGGAAAGAGCTGAAACCTCGATCTATACAAAATCGACTGAATTCCCAAAGTCTGAAACAAATATTTCCCTTTATATTTAAGAAGGCAAGAACGTGAAGCTAGCGGTACTTAAGGAGAAGCTCTGAGCACTACTTACTGATGCACCGGTGGAACAGTGGTCACTGGGATGAAAGACTGACCTGTGGATGCTGAAAGACTGGCTGGTGCACTCTTCTTTCTTCCTCGTTCAGAGGTAAGGGTGATGGTGTACAGCATGCCTGGGCTCAGGTTCCTCAGGGTGTAGGTGCTGGCACTGCCTGGAACCTCCAACTCCGCCCTGTGGCCGTCAGCAGACACGAACACCAGCCTGTAGATGTCTATCTTGGCCACGGGTCTTCTCCAGATCAACATCAGGGTGGTTTCTGAAGTCTCGGCCACCTCCAGATCCTTAGGAGCATCAAGGTCTAAGAGGATAGTATGATTAAAGTTTTTTTCCAAGAACCTCTGTTTTTAAGCCTGAATTGATTTCTACTGAAGACTGGTCAACAGGTATGTTGGCCTTTACATGGTGTGAACATTTCACGATGAATGGACCAACAGAGATTTTAAAAAGTAAATCCCTTTCTTACGTTTCTTACATTAACATATGTTGAGAGAGTTTTTTTTTCCTTAGAAAATGAACTAGAAAGTCTTTTTACTAGAAAATTGTTTTTTCCAAGGTTTTCATATTATAGTAATGACATTAATGTATACAGATCATATATGTTAGTATCTTACCGGTCACAGCATTGGTTGTGGTGGGCAAGCTTTCCCTCTCATCCCTGATTGCGGTCACTCCCATTCCATACTCTATTCCAGGCCTGAGTCCTGCAGAAAACAAGTACAGTTTACAGTAATTCTCAAAGAACTCTGCAGATTCGATAGTCCAATCACTAAAGTGAAATCATTGAGATCATTGAAGCAAGAGCAGATTATTTGGATGCTAAAAATGGTTCTTCAAAAGTTCTTTAGTAAAGACAGTGGTTCTATATAGAGGCATGAACATTCAAAGAACGATTTACTTGCTCAAGGGGTTCTTTGCATGGTGAAACAGTTCTTCAGATTGATGGAGAATGTGTATAGAACCTTTTTAGAAATATAGCATCGAAAAGGGTTCTTCTATTGTTCCGATCTTGACATGGTAACAATTAAATAAATATTTTTTGATGTTATATAGAACCATTTTCAAAATAAATCTACATTAAACCATATACAATACATTCTCCATCAATCTGAAGAACTGTTTCACCATGTGAAGAACCCTTGAGCATGTGCAAGGTTCTTTGAGTGCTCATGGCTCTATATAAAATCATTGTCTTTACTAAAGAACATTTGAAGAACGTTCTTTTTTAAAAGTTATGTTGTTGATATCTACAGTATAAAGTAAATCTCACGGAGCCCAACAGATTCAGTACTCTACAGCTATATAGCTAGAGTTAGGTGTCTCAGAATAAGATGTGGAGCCAGAGTTCCACAAGGATGTCTACAGACTTTGTAAATGAATGATCTGATTGACTTCCCACAGGTTCTGATAGCTTCCACCATTTCTAATTAAACTGCACTCTGAAGGCTGTCCACAGAAAGTCCTACCTATGAAACTGTCCAGCGACTGCGGCCCTCAAGCTTTGGCTCTAGCAAAAATGTACACTTTCCTCGCTTTAAAAGGACATTTAAAAGAATTATTGACTCTAACCACTTACACCAAAGGATCCAACGGTTTCCAAACAGGACATACCTACATGTTTAACTTACACATTGTTTTTGTGGCTGAGATTTGCTAAAGAAAATAACGTACATCTGATTCCGCAGTGGCTATGACTTTAAGGCCAGATGAAATCGGTTACAGTTTAAGAATTCAAATACAAAACACAACAACAGGAGGGAAAACAGATGTACTTAGGATTAAAAAGTGTCTTGCGGAATTCCACAATGTTTATTTACAATGTTTTCGGACCGTCTGTGTGGCTTCTCCTTTTAAGTCTATTGTTTTAATTATTGCCATCAGTCAGTTTTATATTTCAGCCACGCACCATTTCAATTACGTCCTCTTCAGTAGCCGTATCAAAAAGGCTCTCACCGCAGGCCAAAAGCAATATTTACTGTCTTACAAGAGACACTTAGATCAGCATAGCCTCAGCTGATAAGGGCCCACAGCCCAAATCCCAGCATTTACTCCTCTTAATGCCTCTATTGGCTCCTACAGAGGTCACTGCACAGGAGTCTTCCAGCATGAAATTACACCTAATTCAGAGGAAACTCTTACTATCAATAAACTCACAAGCGTGACGGCAATTACAGATAATAACTGTGTGAAAGAGATGAGTAGTGAGGTGTGTGTGTGCGTGTAACACACTCGATTATTAGAATAGACTCACTGCCTTATGTAGGGAACGGGCCTCCCAAGGACAAAGGAGCAGACCAGACAAAGAATCTATTACGCGTTTTGAATATATTTTTCCCCCCCAGCCTGGCTAATCCCTCCTTGCAGTAACACATGGCATTAGAGAATGAGACTGCCTCAAAGCACTGTGTATAATAGCAGTGTTGCTGGGATGGAAAAAACATCCCTACTTTCCTTGTTTGACTAGGATTTTCACATTGAAACAAGTGCCAGTGTTATTTAATTTAAGAGTTGATTGCTAAGTCCTTCTGGTCATTTTCACATAAAGTAGGGTTTTGTGGTCAAGCAAATGTTCCATGACAGAAATAAAGAGATCCATTGGAAATGAGTGCATTGAATTAAACACTAAAATGGGGAAAAAGTGCCACAATTAGCACTTGGCAGCAAAGATACATCGGGCTTTTTGTAGTTATTTACATAATAGCATTTTAGTGGCTCCTAATCCATTAAAAGTAAAATAGCTCTGTGTTGAAATGCAGTTGGAAGGTAAGAGTATCACCAAAAGCGATAAGCTAATCTAAAGTGGCTATGCTTAGCAAGCAACACTTACACCTTCTAAAAATCAAAATTCGATACCCTGTTAAAAACACTGACATTTTCTATTATCAGAAACTGCATGATAGATCTGACCATCTCCAACCAAAATGCAACCCTTACCAGTGATCTTGGCTTGAGTGATGTCCTGTGGGCCAGTTGGGAAAGTAAGCTCTCCATGCTCTCCTCCAGACAGTGGGCCATATTTGATGCGGTAACTGGGGACATTAGATTGACTGTTTTTCCACTCCAGAGTGATGGTCTCGTCGGTCTGCTCGATCGCCCGCAGGTTCTTGGGAGCATCCAAGTCTGGAACATATCAACTTTGACTAGTTGTACACCTTCTCATGGCCATATGTGGTAACTATGCAGAGCCAAGCATACCAGGACAAGGTAGCTCATCTTAAATAATTAGCTGAGTCATACATTAGTAATGGTTCATTAGTAATGGACCCACAAAGTTGCCGACCAATTGAAAGCCTTCTCTAATCTAGGCTAATGTACCTCTATGTAGGTACACTCTTGCTGGTTTATAAGGTATTAGGCCTGGCTTGTACCTACACTAAGCAATTGTATCAGAACCACCATATAGGTACATTTTATAGGTTTACAATTACTGACTGTAGCCCATATATTGCTACACAGTTTTTCAAACCCCCTCTACACCATCCATCAATTGAAAGGGACCACAGCAATCCCAGATATTATTAGAGTGCTGGACCATTCTCAGCATAGCACTGACACCAACATGGTAATTGCATGTTAATGTGTGTGGCACTAGTAAGGGTGAATTGGGGACAGTAGGGTTACTCATCTTACGGTGGTCCATTGTGGTTCAATGGTGTTTCCATTGCTGGGTGGGGTAAAGCGGAAGGGTTAAATTGGCCTTGGATGGAGCTCCAGCACCATTTCATAATCCTTGTGAAGTCCATTTAACTATTCAATGTGATAAACTGTGTGTATATAACCTCTAAACACCTCCCCGACCCCCCTCCCAACCCTGTGGAACACCCTCCTCATATTGTTCTACTGATTGTCACAATCATATTGGTACATATTGAGTTTTTCCTCTTGTTTCATGATGTATTAATTAGCTAAATAAATTTATTTAGCCTAAATATATCGCTGTTATTTATCCTGTTAAATTTGAAGTAATTCCAAAGCATTCTGTCACCAAAGTATCGAACTGAGTTTGCATAGCCAGATACAACTTTCATGACTGAGAAAGCTAAATCAAACATTTGTTCATCCACACCTATTCCAACTAATGCGCTACTGTGATGTTTTGCCTACTGTTGTGCCGACTAAATGGGCTCAGAGGTACATGTTTGCACTGGGCCAGCTAGCTAATTGTGTTTGTAGTCTGTGGAGGCAGCTGCTCCAAGAACAGGAAGAGTCCTTGCTGATAGATGGGTGGCATCATTGTTTGGAACAATTGTACTAGTTTAAAGATTTTAGTCTGACTTTTATCTTTGTCATAAAATAATCTGATCATATTTTGATGTAATTTTGTTGCCAAAACTGACAAATTAATTGACTTTATTAAGCCACTAAGGCAGAAAAAGGTAGGCTGTTTGTTTTAAGGACATTTTCAGGAAACCTCCATATAATAAAACATAAATTGATAAGTTCGTCCCCACATTGCTCACAAACAAAAAAATTAGGCACCCCCACCTCCAAAATCTCAATGTAACCCCTGGTATAGTGTGCCTGATAAATTTTGAAGCAATAAAAAGGCTACAGTCAGTAATTATATACCTACAAAGTGCACTTATACAGTAATTGTACCCAAGATTACTTATATATTTTTTCTATTGTTCATTTTTTTTGCTTAAATTCTTTAGTTATTTTGTTTATTGATTTCACATGTAAATAAATTTGAGTTGAGAGTTGAGTCTCTAACCTGTGGTAAAGGATTCATACACTGGCACGCTGGTCATCTCCCCTCTGCGGGCCATCAGAGACACTCTGTACTCAGTGTCTGGGTAAAGGCGAGCCAGGTGGTACTGGGTGTCTAGTGCTGATAGAGCCACTGTGTTGGTGTCTGAGGAGTCAGTGACCGGGGCATAGGACACAGTCACTCCATCAATCTGAGCTATGGGCTGGAACCAGGTAATCAGGGCAGTACTCTCCGTTACATCTCTCACTTCCACCTGGCTAGGAGCATCGATCACTGCATGGAGTAGAATGCAAGAAAATGGTTGGGAAGTGATAGTCAAGCAAGTGCAAAAAGGCAAATCCATAAGCGCAATGCACAGCTAAACGGATTATTTCACTTGGTAAATAGTTCCATGAATCAAACCATCAAAGGTTTGTGTTGCAAATGCTAAATCAGCTGCTTCTGAGGGGAAAAAATCACTTTGGGATGATGCTCTTGGGAAAAATTCTGTGTGTATATGAAGTCATTGAATTGGATTATTTGTAATTTCCTTAGATCATGTATTCCTAGGGAGTTAGAGGAAGCTCCTGGGGGGAAAGCAGTGGGTCACATGAGATGCTGTGGTGAGAGGTCATCTTTCTGTGAGTAGTAGATAAAACAGAAAATCAGCATTTTAGCTCGAAGCAGATTTGTGGGTGTGCAAAACTGCAGAAGTCTCGAGGGATGAGCGCTTCTTGAGCAAGGAGAGCACAGCTCACTTTCAGCAATTAGTGCCCCCTCCCCAAGCAGCTCATGACTGGCATATATCTCAGAAGTGGAGCAACAAGCATGCCGGAAGTCTTTTCCAAAACCCCTGAGACTCATTGGGATTGGATTTTATGTATTAGCAGCTGATATCGTTAATTATGCTCCACTGTTTTTGTATTTAATTAATTGTGTTCTTGCAAACTCTTGATTATCTTTTTCTTTTCCACATTTAGGCTTTGAAGTGTTTCCCTGCAACTGAAAGTTTAGGCTGAAATTATACACTACAAATGGTTCCCTGGTCTGTAACAGCAAAATTAAAAGGTAACACATCTACGCAACACCTGGTATTTTACGAGCTGGCCATAAATCACAAGAAAGAAAGGGGTGGATTGAAAGATGCCACAATGTCACAACGCTAATAGCTTTCCCACATATGGTTTGGTTTATCTCGAGCGACCAGTTCATGAAACTGTGTGGCACTTACTGAGAAGCATGTGACAAGCAGTATTTCTTTCTTTATTGAAAGCTTTACTGAGCCACAAACACAGAGAAATGGCACACATGCAGCCAGAGTAAAAGTTGAGCAACTCTGTTAATATGTTTGCGCCATATCTAAGCTCAGGAAGCTGTTGTCTTTGTGAAGAGCACTAAATAAAATCAACTGCAGGGAAACACTTTAACTATGTAAGCATCATGGAGAGAAAGCTTGATGCCTTAAATGGACAGGACCCACCAGGGTATCCACATTTTCATTACTCACTTCTATGACTTAGTAATAACTCAGTCAGTTTGCACTGTAGGCCTGTAGTTACTGAATAATAAGCCTTAGGATGTAATAAGCCTGGAATTTAAGGGTTTAAGCTATTCTTTCCACACAAATAGACCAGGGCCATAGATGGTTAGGGCATTGCTGTGATTTAGACTTGGATCCCCGTGATAGGATCCAACCTTCTTAGCTTGCATCACTTGAAAGCACCTGATAGTTCAAATTTAAAGCTCAATTTTTCAAATTGAATTCAAGAAACACAAAAGAAGTGAAGAAAATTATAGTTTGTATAAAGTATTTATGGGGACATCCAGAAAATCTAGACAAAAGTATATCAAGAGAGCATACAAAGAAGACAGAAAGAATAAAATGTGAGTCTGGGGTGAGAATGCTTTATAGTACTTGGCTTGACTTGTATCAGCAGCATGTCCAATTAGTTTGACGTACTGAAGGGCCTCAAGCTTACATATTCCTTAAATCAAATCCCAGAATTTGATCAAATGCATTTTACAATGTCTACAGATCCCAAATATACAAATCTGCCATCCCAATCAATAATGAAAATCAATTAATAATAGTTGACAGCTGCTTACTTGTAACCACGTTCCGACTGGCTGGCGGTCCACGAGTATTGTTCTTCAGCACCTCAAGTTTAACCTCATACTCTTGGCCAGGGCCCAGGCCAGACTGCTCAAAGGTGGTCTCGGGTGGGGAAAGTGAATTCAAAATCTCTCCATTCTCCTCTTTCTGGCATTTCACAACAACAGACCACCAACATAAAATCAGTCATTTGTTATGTTGTGTTATGTGTTTTTTTTAAATCATTGCATTTGTGAGTTTTAAACTGCATTTCAAATTATAAACAAAGATAATGTTCACTGTCTTTGGCATATGGACCTCTATAATTTGCATTTCAATTGTTCCGAAAATAATAGAAGAACAATGTATCTTTGTGGCTGCAGATCTAAAATCTTGGTTTGGTTATTTTACAGCTAAAAGAAACCACAAATAGGAAAATGATTCCCGACTGTGTGGACTCAGCAACTCCATGAAATACAGAGAAATTAGAGAGATCCCGGAGAGTAAACACTTAGGACTTTCAATTGCATCCACTTGGATGTGAGTGCTTCATTTCAAAGTGAAGGGTTTGTTTGGCATGGGCAACCTCAAACTTGATGTATGAATGAAGCTGCCAAGTTGCATTTGAAAGAATGGGGTATGGGGAGACATGGTTTGCATGGCCTGACAGGGGCTATTTTTTAGAGTTTGCCTAAGCCCTTGAAAAAGAAAATAAAGCATTGTGAAAACAGTAACAGTCCTGTTGCACATGGTCACCAGAGTTGTCGCCAGAAGCTTCTTAGGAGGTTTTGTGTAACAAACCCCCAGACCCCAGACTTTCAGACAGCGGCTTTTGCATATTGGCACCACTCAACTATTTTCCACAGGATACTTATACAGTTTCCCTACAGTTTCAGAAGGGTCCTTTCATATTACGTGCTATTCCTACCGCAGCAAATTTCAGGCTAATGCTTGGCTTTGGATACAGAGCATAACCACTTTTTTACATTGATATGTATTGCACTCACTGTGTTTCTGAAGATGAGGTTCCAGCCATCAAAGGGGACATTCAGAGGATCCCACTGAACCTCTACAGAAGTCTCTCTCACAGATTTGAACTTCAGGCCTTCAGGCTCAGGAAGATCTAACAAGATGGTCAAATGTTACAAAAGGTAGTATTTGTTACCACTGTTTAAAAATAGTACAATTGCCCAATTGTCCCAATTTAGTCATGGTCAATTCCCATCTACTAGCTAGCTTTCCTCCCATCACACAATGTTACCAAGCTGAGTGGGTGAAGGCTAACGTGCTTCCTCCTCACATGAAGCCAGCTACCACATATTTCTGAACTGCCACCAACATAACGTCATTGGACAACAGTGTTCTTGGAGGAGAATGTTAACTGCCACTTTTATTACTTCATCTACCAGGCAAGAAGTTTACTTGCATTTCACTGAGTGAAAGGGGAAGAGAGAGGGCCATCCTACCCACCCGGAGAAAGCAATGCTTAGACAGTTACATCACACAGGAGCTCATTGTATAACCATTTCTAATCTTTTCAAAGAAGATGGCTGATTATGACTCACGTGTTGCCACTCTGGCACTGACAGGAACACTCATCTTGTTGTTCAATACAGCATAGACACTGATCAAGTACTCCACTCCTGGCTCCAGCTCCCTTATGGTTGCAGATCGTTTTTCACCAGGTACTCGCATATCTAATTCCAGACCACCAGCTGCAGTAGGCGTGTAGGTGATTAGATACTCAGTCACCTGCACCTCGTTGACCCAAGATACATCCACTGTTTGTGGGGTGACTTCAGTCACAGTTAGATCCCTTGGTGGGGAGACTGTAGGCAGAAGTGAGATCATACCATTTACCTTAATATAGCATTCAACAATGTGACACTGTATTTGTACCAAATACCATCAAGAACTGACTTACTTTCAGAGCAGTCTTCTCCAGTGAAACCCAACTCACAGACACACATGCCATTGAGACAGTGACCTTGATCATTGCAGTTTCCTGGGCAGGTCAGTTCTGAGCAGTCCACTCCGGTGTAGCCCTCAAAACAGACACAATTTCCATCATCACAGAAGCCGCGGTCCAGGCAGTTGTTAGGGCACGTCTTTTCACTGCAGTCCTCTCCGGTAAAGCCTTTGTTGCACACACACTGACCATTCACACAGCGACCTCGGTTGTGACAGTCATTAGGACAAGTCAGCTCACTGCAGTCTTTGCCTGTGAAGCCGACGTGGCAGACACATTTGCCATCCACGCATTCACCATGGCCATGGCAGTCATTAGGACAGGTCTTAATACTGCAGTCCTCCCCAGTGAAACCTTTATTGCACACACACTGACCATTCACACAGTGACCCCGGTTATGACAGTCATTAGGACAAGTCAGCTCACTGCAGTCTTTTCCTGTGAAACCAGCATGGCAGACACACTTGCCATCCACACATTCACCATGGTCATGGCAATCATTAGGACAGGTCTTAATACTGCAGTCTTCACCTGCAAAGCCCTGCTTGCAAACACACTTTCCGTCAACACAGCGTCCACGGTTATGGCAGTCGTTGGGACAGGAAAGCTCAGAGCAGTCGTCGCCTTGGTACCCGGCATCACATATGCACTCTCCATTCACACATTGACCTCTATCGTTGCAATTGTCAGGGCAGGAGAGGATGCTACAGTCTTCACCTTGGAAGCCAGGATCACAGATGCATTTGCCATTGAAGCAGTGGCCTCTCTGACTGCAGTCATTGAGACATGTCAGCTTGGAGCAGTCTTCTCCACTGTAGCCAAAATTGCAGACACACTGACCATTAACACAAATGCCTTTGTTGTTACAGTTGCCTGGGCAGGTAATCTCACCACAGTCCTCCCCACTGAAACCCTCATCGCAGTAGCAGGTCCCATTGACACAACGGCCACGGTCGAAGCAGTCATTGGGGCAGATAAGCTCTGAGCAGTCAAAGCCTGTCCAGGGTTCATCGCACACACACTCACTGTCCACACAGCGTCCCCTACCTAGGCAGTTGTTCAGGCAGCTTGTCATGGCGCAGTCCTCACCCATGAAACCTTCTTCACAGATGCAAGCCCCATCAATGCACTCGCCATGTTCGCCACAGTCAACGGGGCACAGCTCAATTCCACAGTCTTCTCCCGCAAAGCCCTCAAAACAGACGCACTTGCCGTCCACACAGCGGCCTTGGTCCTGGCAGAAATTGGGGCATTCAGGCTCAGAGCAGTTTGACCCCTTCCAGCCAGGATCACACACACAGCTACAAGTCTCAGTGCTGTAGTTGCCACGACCACTGCAGTAAGGCTTGGTAGTGACCTCACCTGAAAAAACACAGGGCAACCAGCAGGTCATAAAATCACAACATCAAACTGTACAAATGAATCTTACTGTACAAGCTTTTGAACAAAAGCCAATGACAAGGAGATTTACCATGTGAAGACAAGATCAAAGACTGAAGGATAATACCTTGAGTCCTCTTTGAGGATCAAAAGGTGTGCTAGCAAAACTGCAAAGCTTACTTCACATTTGAACTCACCTGTAACCTGAGCCCCACAGCAGCCAGCCCCACTTGTGCATTGCTCCCTCAGGCTAGACACCTCAGCCTCCAGCATTTCCAGCCTATTCAGGAGATCCTTCAGATCTGGCAGGTGATTATCACATCCACAGGCCTGTTTGGGGATGTTGATCCGGTGAGTGAAAACAATCTGATTTTCCCCATCGACGGTGTGCTCCATGTGCTGCTCAGATGGGGCAGATCGGGGCTTCATTTCAGATCCTCCAGGTGAATCTAGGTCCACTGAGCACAAGGATCCAGAGGGGACATTGATGTTGTAGACATGGTTAAAGACCACTGGTTGGTCTGGATTAGGCAGGGATATATTCTCTGGTTTGGGTGGCATTAGGGATTCTCTTCTGTGCCTGATTACTTTCTTGACCAGGCCAGCCTTAGAGAGATCCAGTACTGTGGCCAAAGCCACACAGGCCAGGAGCAGGCCTCGCATTCCCATGATGACACACTCTCACTAATCCTTGGTTAATACAAGGGCAGGCACGGAGAATTTATGTTCCTGAAGTTTGGGATTGAACCTTAAACCTAAAATGTAATACAGAAAAGAGACAAGTGTACACAACATGCTTCATATTTCATGACGGTAGGGTAAATATACTGTTACTGAACTGTACAGGCGTGCAAGAATTGGAGAACTTTTGACATTATTTGTTCTTGTCAGTTTATGTGGATCAAACTTGGGGAAAAAACACAGCTAATCAGGGACCCCGCTTGGCAGTACAGTGTCAGAACATTACAGAAAAAGCAATTAAACTTACACAACTGGATGTAAGAAGAGAACAGCTCCGTACAACATAAGTGTACCATATGCCTTTTCAGCCATGCAACTCTCGGCAGGGGAGACAGATTCTCAGAGGGCAAATTTAGGCGTTCTCTCTCCTACATTTCCCCAAGGAATGCCTCAAGCAATTAAAATGGAATAGGAATCTGTGACCTTGTGGTTGAGTACGTATATCTTGACAGTGTTTCTTGTGACAGCTTGCCATGATCACAAAGCAGGCAACACCTGCATCTGGGGAGCCTACACCCTCCTCTGACATGGCAGCCTATAACCCAAGTTGACAGATTAATACTGGTATAGGGGAGACATCTGCACTGCCCTCCATAGCATGGCTGGTCAGGGTTCATGCTCCTCTCAAAAATTTGCATTCTCTGACTGCTCTCCAGATGACAATGTAGTCCCACTTGGAAACATAATGCTTTCCTTGTGAAACGAAAGAAATAATCATGTATTTTTGCAAGGCTCAGGAGACGTGTTCTTTCTTTTAAGGGTAATAGTCTGTTGGAAATGGCTTTAAATGTAATGGAGCCAGCTTTGAAAGTTATGCTATCCTTAGGAATATGTGTGTTAAGGGCACCAGAGGTGTCCTTCTGCAAAAGTCTTGTAGGAACTTGAACTTTCATGCTATATCCACATGGCGGGGTAAGATCTTGCCAACAACAGAGCTATGGAGATCTAATTTTCCACACAGAAATTCTCAAAGGCTTCAAAACAAAGAGCACCAAATAAAATCCATTCAACATGGTTTTAACCACCTTCTAAAATGGCTAACACATCATTTTGCAGTGCTCTCATGTTGTGACTAACACATCGTTTGGCAATTACATTCCTAGCACTTGAGTCAAATATAAGACGGCTTGCATTTTCTAAGCACGTACGTAATTTCTGAGCTATAAAAAATATGACCTCCCCTGGCCTACATCATTCACACATTATGGCCCTGATTCACTAAGCCTTTTGCACCAGTTTCAGTGCAAATTGGATGCGTTCTGTCTGCAAACCTGGTGCACAAGTGAAAAACACAGAATCTGTTTCTCTCTCATGCATATTTGAGGTAGAGCAACACAGAACATGGGTGAAGTATGAATGGAGATGTAAGAAGTGCAGCTGATTACATATTGTGCTCAGTTTATTAACGTTTGAGCAACGAGCGACAGCTGTTTTTTTGTGGATTTTTGTAAATATCTTTGGAGACAAATGTTATTAGGAGGCTTTGTTTAAAAATAAGAGCAGTCATAGTGACTAGATGGAGGCACAAGACTTTAACATGCGCTGAAAGAATATTTACCAATAGAACAACATAACAACAGAGCAAATTCAGCCACAATATAAGCACAAAGCCCATGTTATTGTTTCCTAAATTCTGTTTTCTTTGCGGGAGTGTGTGAAGTTTTAGCGGGAACCATTCTATTCTCACTAATCACGTTCTATTTGATGTCAAGCTTGCTTCTGACTCTACTGTTTTGCTGAGCCTTTTAGTAGGACGTTCTGGGCACAGTTTGCAGTCTTTTTGGTTAAATGTTAATTGCAGGTGCAATGTGAACGGTCGCATAAATGCACTGCACCTGCGCTCATACCACATCTTGACCTATAGGCTCTCTTCACACTATGTGGAATTACTATCTCTTCTGCATTGTGACATAAATCTGAAGATTGTGATTCAAATAAATTGGTTTTGGAATGTTAGACTATACTATAACCACTTATTGTAATCAATTAATGTTCATTTTTTAGCATTGGGCTTTTTTATTATCTATACTTCACTACTGACTGTATAGCTCTTTGATTCATATTTGTGTATTGAGTTCTAAATTTTACCAAAATAATCAAGACAAAGCAAATCATAATGAAATTGTGGGACTTAATGATGTTCCTGAAGAACCTGAATCGTTGTGAAGTCGAGAATTTTAACCCCTATTAATAAGGCATTCTACTGCTGTATATAGTATATAGCGCTGCTTTGCTACTAAAGTATAGGCAACAGGATATGTTTGACAAAAATATCTCCCTGTCAAGACTTCTCCTTAATAATAAAAGCAATGATAGCCTAAACAGAAGATTTATCTCCTCGGGTAACTATGAGAGAGCAGAAGGCCGACAGTCTGTTATATCCACAGTTAGTGAAGTATCCAGCAGGTAATATCCTGTGAGAGGTAATGCGGTGAACAGAGACCCGTCTTGACATGTGATTAGCAGTCCTGACAGATGAGGCGGACTGAGCGGGATCCCACGACTGCAGCCGCCCATCCCTGATTAGACAGATAAGGATGAGCACCACCACCCCCCCCGTGATGGAGCGCTAAAGCATCTTGCTGATGGGAGCCTCGCGATCTGGAGCCTCAAGGGTGTCAGGGACGACCCCCACCCCTCAAGCCAGGGATTAAATCAACAAAATAGCCAGAAAATTGCTTTGAGTCGCTACGAGGGTTTTAGTTCTGGGTGGATAGCTGGCTTTTTCACTTTGAAGCCTGGCTTGTCACCACTAGAAAAAAACACTTTGAAGGACCCAGACGCTCTTTGTGAACGTTTGCCACCACTGCCTGAAACCACTGGCCAAAGCTGACCTGTCTTGAGGGATGAATACCACAAAAGCGAAACAGTAGCGAGGAACCATAAAAAATCTATGAAAAGTCATTTCACTGAGCCAGAAAGGAGTTAGTTTAGGATATGGAAAACAGTCCGGCGGTTATGAATGAAAATCTGGAAAGCACTAATGCTTTTTTTTTTGCAACTCTGAGAAGCAAAGATGTCCTCCTTTTTTGGATCTTCATCAAGGCAGAACCAGGTCCAGGTTGCTAGCACTTTCAGATGGACCCACAAAAATGCATGGCCTGCTTTCTAATGAACCTCTGCTACTACTCTTAACTGAGGCAGTTGGCTGCCATGTGTCTAATGCATGGGCAAACTCACTTGAGGAGTGAACCTGCTGGCACTTATATTTAGCACAAGTGAGCTAAATGAGTCCAATGCTGTGTGTTGTTCCTGAGTGTTGATGACAGCAGCTGAATGGCAGGAGAGGCTACCTCACACGGAGACCAAATGCAAACTTTAATAAGTCGTTAACTCCACGCTAAAGCATCAAAGTTAATTAGACCTGAGCTCTGCTGGCCACCTTAATGTGTAATAAAAAAAAAACATTATTTGCTTAACTTGCAGTTTGTTGAATTAGCAAGAGAAAACTGGTCTTGCCATAAACAAGGTGATAAATTGTGCTGCTGAAATCAACATGCCAACAGTTTACTGTCTGCAGCTTCACATGTAGGCGCATTTTATGACTTTAAAGAATAAAGCTGGAAACTTTAAATGGGATTTGCTAAAAGCAAGATCGCAAAGTAATTTTTTGGTAAAGTTCAATAACGCGTGAATAAGATAAAACCACTCTCAGTGGCATCACACAACTATATTATCAGTGTCCCAGTAGCTATTATAAATTAGATTGGAATTGCCCTACCAGCTTGTGAAATGGGCAGATGGAAACTACATCAGACTCAGAGCACATAACTGATGGGAAATGAAAGTCTGGTGCAATTTTGGACGAGTAAATGCACTTCAGGTCCAGCTGGCCCTTTGGTTGTCCCTGAAATGGAGTTTTATCATAAACCCTCACTGACCACAGCACCCATTCTCACACTATACCCAGGCTAACTGCTATCTGGCTTCATAAAATGTACATCATGTCTCCACTGTTAGTCCAGATAGCACAATGCAGCTCTCAAATAGAGGATGACTTTATGAAAAAAGATGCTATTTCATAAAAACACAGTATTTTTTACCATAACTGCTATCATTATAAGCCTAGATCCTCCGGGAATGGATATATTCATAAATATATAGTATTTCCTCAATGATTGCTTTACCAACGCTCATATTTCAGAGACGAGATTTTGGTCCTGTTTTGTGCAGTGCAATTTTTGAATCTGTTCTCTAAGGCTGATGATTGATGGTAGGGCTTTGTTCTCTCAGGTGATTACATACCTCAGATAAGAGCTACTGGCTACTGAAATATTGAGACTGACATCACACTGAAATGCAATCTTTTCTGTACCTATATAAAATGTTCAAAAACATTCTGGAGGTACACAGATGCACAGAATATATTGCATGCACTGAATGATAAAAGTGATCTGATTCCAAGTGATCTTGGAGAGCTGTATAGCATAGAAAACAATATCCTGAACAGTATTGATGCCAAAGTTTGAGCCATAGATGTATAACCAGAGGCATTTACAGCTTTACACAATGACCCTCAACAAAAACCCCAATCTGTAATGAGAAGGATTATTCTATTGTATAAAATATTGCACTTCACCGAGGTTCAACATTCATAAGGATACATGACACATTTATAAGCTTTTCTTACAACTGACAAACCTACTTAAACTTTAATAAAGGCTTATTCCAAACATTAGTTGTCTTAAATGCTGCTTTTGTCAATTTGATGTCATTTCACCTTGGCCAGTGTTATGACAACTGATGCTTGTATCAGTTCTCTTAAAAGACTTATATAGATGCTGTGTAGCCTTATGAGCACTGCCTTTGGTAAAGTGTTACCAAATATTGTGAGCATTCAGTTATAAGGAACACACTCTCCCTCTCTCCCTCTCTCAGTTCATTTGTATGAAATCTTCAAGCTTGCTTAGTTTTGTAGGTCACCCATGACAGAAAGGCTCCTGCCTTCTCTGGGACACGGACTTAATGTGGGTCGCGTGCAGTGCTGAGTGAACTGCTATTGTCTGGAGACTCT